CAGGACTTGGGGTTTGATGGTACAAATCTCCAACTAGTATTTTGCTCCAAAGGACTCACAATTTAGCTAAAGATAAAATGCATCAAAGGTGGTGGAGAATGTGGCTCTTCAGTAAGAGGACCCAAGTATTTGTGAATAATCAGATGCACAGTTAGCTGCTACTGTAAAGGTTTTGACTTTGCCCATAGTATACAGGTGGCAATTGGAATCATCCAAAATAATCCAGAGGTCTTGGATGTTCACACTTCTTCTGGGGCCTGAACTCCAACCTTGCCTGTCATCAACAACATCACCTGTACATCTACTAATGAAGGGAAGCCCTGTGATCAGATCTATCTGTATAGATAATTCTGCTTCCCAAATCCCATCTGAAAGCATATTTAAAAATATTTGGACATAGAAATATTCCCTGGGAATTACAGCTAAATGAACTGCAAGGGAAAAAAAAGGGACAACCAGATTTTTTTTTGTACATTAAGCATTTTCAGGTACCAAAATGACAACCTTCTCACACTGATTGAGGATGAACCGTAAGTACTATTTTTAAACAGCTTTGGATTTTCTTAGTAAACTGTTCCTCCAGTCCTGCTTGCGGTGTAATTACTGCCTATCCAGCAACAAAGAAATAAGAATGTCTTAGGCAATGTCTTTTTCCTCTGGGGACAATGTGAAATGGTATTCAGAAAGGTACCAAACTGTAATATACTTACAGAAAAAAAAAACACCCCACATAGTAATCAAGTGTGGAGATTAGAGGGAAAAAACCCACACCCCAAACCTTGATTAGAATTTATCTAAAACTACCTGGAATTTATCAGACCTACAAATAAACCTAGAGGAAAAAGGTTGAAACCATTGTAAGTAAACAAAAAAGCCAGTAGATGGCACGAGAGACCTTGAGATTTGACATAAAGCTCAAATGGCCACTAATAGCTACTCTCTTCTGCAACCTTCTGTGCTGTCTCTGGTTTTAGCCCTAACTACTGTATTTGCTAGATTCCTGAGGTTTCTTATTCATCAGCTGCACTTAGATCCACACAGTACATTTATTTTTAGGGACAACTAAAGTTCATTTAATAACTCATTCAAACATGCTGAGTAAAAGCCTAGCTCTGTTAAGTTTAACCATTGGCTTCAGTGGGGTTAGAACTGTAGATGTTATTTTTTTTTAATGCTCATGCTGTGGAGCAAGCATTTCATTTCCAGGAGGGGTTTGATAGTAGTGGTTTTTGTCCTTTCCTATCACACTGCAGCTCCTTCCTCTGGAGCAGAATGACCATGTTTTCCTGAGAGTCACTGTGTCATTTAAAATTAGTGAATCAGAAGAGCCAGCTCTGATGGACAAAAGGTTTGTTGTCTTTGTCTAGGATACAAAAGACTGTGTCTCCAATAGCCTTTTGCTTATCCCTCTGTAATAGCAGCATCCAATTCTAGGCTTTTATGAATAATCCACTAAGGTTTAACCAAAGCTGACCGTGAACAAATTAAGTATATTGTTTTGATTTTTTCCAAATGTATGGTTATTTTACAGTTGGATGAATCTGGAAATGAAAACCTTCAACTTAGCAATAAAATATACTCATGTGGTTAGGAGATCTAGTGGAAAAATTTACTTTTCAACTCTAGGATCATTGAAGAACTTGCAAAAGACATATGGGACTATAAATTCATAAGCATTTCTGACTCCATCAAGTAGGTAAGTAGTCATATCTTTCTGATGCAGAAAATGAGATGCAGAAGTCCCCAGCCTCATGCAAAACCACATTACAGAGCTGCAAGGGCAGGATTAGGACTCAAGCCTGGCTTATGCTTAGGCCTGCGTTTTTTTTCTGGCACTCCTTTTTTTTAAACAATACTAGAGTACCATAATGGCAAGATTATATTACTTGGTTACTACAATAAAGTCCAGAATTCATTAATTCATGTCATTGAGAAGCAGTGGGAATGAAAATTAGAATGCATAAAAGCTCAGCCTATGTAGCACATATTTTAATAGCGGGGTGGGTGTATAGCTTTGGTTTGCTTTATAAGAAAGGACAGGCATGATTTCCAAATGAAGTCTAAATATGGACTGCAGATATCCTCCCAGATGGGTTGGAAACGTCTGTGTGGTGCATTAGAAATTCCAGAAGGGCTTTTTCACACTTGTACTGCTAATGTCCTTAATTCCTTTGGCAAAACGAGCCGGTTCTAAGTCTTTTGCTTTGCCGTGCACACTGCCAACCTCGGGCTTTCCTGAGCTCCTTACATTGTGGTTTTACAGCTGCGGTGTCACTGAAGCCTTTCAGTCAGTCCGAGACATTCAGCTGTCTCAGCAAGAGGGCACAAAGGAACAGGAGCTGGGCACAAAGGAACAGGAGCTGGGCACAAAGGAGAGCTGCCCCTTGGAAATGGAGCTCATGGGAGCTGTGTCTGCACGGGCAGTGACGGGCGTGTGCCCGGGTTGTGCCAGTGCTGCTTTCCCCTCTGGCTCAGCCCAGCCCAGCCCAGCCTGTGCCACTGGAGGGGTCATGGTGAGTGAATTCCCTGCCCGTTGGCTGGCACTGTGGGGCATTTTCACCTTTCTTTCCTCCTGTGTGGGACAGGGCAATGAGCCAGGAGTTTCGTTAGGTCTTTTGGGCTCAAGTGCAGCATCTTGGCTTTACTGCCCAAGAACACCACAGTCAGTGGGAAGTGTTAAGAGAGAAGCTCCTGCTAAGGAGAAGACTTATGTGTGTTTTGGCATGGGCAGGATACCTCTGGCCAGGCGTGATGATTTAGCAGTAACAGTTCTGGTGGCTCCTTTCAGCTGGGGTGCTGGAGGTACCTTCTTGTTGGTGCAAGATCCAAGGTGGGCCTTCAGTGGGGACAGACCTGGCCTGGCACACTTACTCCTTTTTTAATGCTGTACAGTATCTACTATTATTATATATCATCACTGTAGAATAAACTGATTTGGGACTGCTGACCAGTCTCTGCCTTCAAAGTTTTTTTTCCAATGCTTTTAAAAGTCTGTAAATGGTTTCTGGGAGAAGGTGTTTGCCTTTCTAAGCTGCTTGTATCTTTTGTGCTGCACATCCCAGCTTGATCGTTGTTAATTAGTGTCGTGCTTCTGTGTAGAGGACTGTGTTTTACTGAGAGCAGAATTGCTTCTCTTTGCTGTTACTAAATTCCTATTCTGGTAGTTGAGCATGAAACTTCATTTTTCTTCCCTCCTACATCTCTTCACTACCTTTGTCTTATCTGGAGTGGTTGACTGGCAAAAGTTTCTCTTTTGTAAACAAGCGGATTAAGGAGAAAGGTGTTGGATTAAAGATGACAGTCTGATCCTATGAATGTCAATGTCAAATCTCCCATAAGCCACAGTGAAAACAATACCAGGAAGAAAAGGGCTCTCCAGGCGTAATATTAGTGTGATTTTAAAGGAAAGTGGAACGCAATATTCTAATATTCTTTGTCTCCCTTCTTGTTTGGGGCTACCTGTTTTGCACTGTAGCACTTCTGATGAGTTAGTAAACACAGCTTTTGTACGGGGTATTTGTGAATGCTTTATTACAAATAAACACACAGGGCAAGAATTCATGTTGCTGGTCTGGAAGAGACATGCACGAAAAAAAGCTGTTGAATAGAGCACTGTCTATTTGCATATAGACCAGGCACTACACATGAAGGTTCTCAGATGCAACAACGTGTAGACCAAAATAAGGCTGGGAGAAGGAAAAGAGCCAGGTAACCACCTTTTGCCCTTTGTAATATCCTCAGGAGAGATTCTTAGGGACAGAGGCAAACGTGCTTGCCCCAAGTATGCACTAGGCATCTGGTTTGAACAAACTCATAATGGCTTACTTCTGGAAGTAATGAAGTGAGCACTGCACATGGAGAACAACCAGGCCTTTTCTAACTAACTCCAAGTTGGTGGCAAGCTGCAACCTGAGGGAGAGTAAAAGGAGTACTATGCATTACTCATGTTTCTGCTCTTGAGGGGAAAGCACGGTGAAACCTTATTCTGTAATTGTTCAACTATTTAGTCTTCAATCATCTTTCTGATAGATCAGTTTTTAGTTAGAAGGAAAAGTATTGTCTTTGATGACAGTTTCCTGACAGCGTTTGGGTTCAGCAGTACCTTGCCCACGCTAAGGCTTCTCTTGGAAGAGCATGTTGGCTGCTGTGGAAAACATACCATGGTTCAGTGCACGGCTGATTTGTGACACGGGGTGAAGAGAGGTTGTGCCACTGCTTGGAGTTTGAAGGTGTCACCTATTCCTGGTCCCCTGGGGTGGGAGGGAATTACCTTTTCTGCACAATGAAAGCCAGCAGATTGACTCTTCACTGGTTAAACACAGTCTAACTATCCTGCTTGTACTTTATTTTAGCTTTATGATGCTATTATCTTACCTACTTTTCTATATGTTACTTTTTGGTGTATTTGGAATGCTACTTGATGTATTATTGTTCCCTGAAGTTTTTGAAGCCACCATTTTCATAAATATACAATAGGAGATGGTAAAGCAAAAAAAGGAAAAGTTCCTATTCACACTTTTAGCTCATGAAGCAACAGAACATCCATTGAAATTTAAATGAAAATGGAGACTGTGTCACACACTATAGCTCTCTGGAAAGCTACAGTGGGAGTCTAGCAGTCCAATTCATTCCTTTGTAGAATGTACTAAGGCTAATGGTCTTGCTGGGAGTAAAATGTATTTTTTTGCAGAACAGTTCCAAGAACAGACTTTGCTCTTTACCAGAAAACATAAAAGAAAACAAATGCTTACTGTGTCTTTAGTATGCTAAATATGAAATTCTTTGCACAATGGAATGTTAGTAGTAGCCGTAATCATGTTTTCCTTTCATCACCTAGTGAATATAATTTTAAGAGAGGACTGCTGTAATTATATCGCAGATAAAAGCCAGCAGAATTTCTGTATAATATTATCGTTGGCCTGATTGTTTTGTTGATAGGGAAAAATAAAGAGAGACCACATGAATACTTATTTAATGAACAACATATTTATTAAGCAGTGCAGACTGTACCTAGTGCATTTGACTTTGCAGTAGGGTTATTTCCTTCAAGCACCTTTCTTAATATTTTACTACAGCTATTATGTTCCCTTCTTATCTGTGCAGCTATTCAATTATTTGTGTGGTATGTCTATAGCACAACGTTACAGTGTTTAGCTTAACTACAGTCGCCAGTGCAGGTACAGTCGATGTCAGCATCCACAGACTCCACAACATCCTCAGATGCAGATTTCTTATCGCTGCTCCTCTGCCATTCCAGCAGGCTTACAGCAGTTTCTGTCAGAAGAGTGAAGCCATTGTTAACTAACATCAAGCAAATTAACACATTTCAGTGAAATGCTGTTTTGATGGCTGTCAACTCCCTCATCAAGTGAAGAATGAAGTCCTGCCCTCACGGCTGGCATCTAACTGACTCATTGACTTGGAGCGGGATTTTCATCCATGATATAATGACTCTAATACTCCCCTAAAACCAAAATGAATTACATTTCATGAAGCACAAAGACAACAGGCAGCAGGCTGTACAAGTGCTGGAGGTAGCCGCTGTCGGTGTAAGACCACCACGTACCAATCCACATCAGTAATCTCTTTTTGCGTTAGTGCTGCATATCACTGAGTATTTCAGCTCACTGTTTGTCAAAGTTCATCCCGAAGGATAAGCCCTTTGGAGAATTTTCAGAGGTTCATAAACTTCTAATTAAAGTTTCCCATATCTTGTGAAATCTGGCAGAGCATTGTCAGTAGCAGTATTAACCTTACCACACTGCTTCCTCAACAGCAGCTTGAATAAGCCATATCCCTTAATGCTGAAATAATCTAAATGCAATAATGATATTCATCCTCCCAATAAATATTCTTAGCTAGTTGGAGGTTTATCATTGCATCTGGAAGAATATTAGGACGTCCATTTAGATTAAGTTTGTATAATGAGAATGGGTAGAGCTTTCATAATTTTACTTCTATTTGTTTTATCCCTCAGCTGGACAGTACATTTATAAAATGCCATCTCTCGTCACAGGGAAATCTGGAGACTGCTCTATGGGTTCAGGTTGTATCAGTCACTTATCTTCTGCAAGGCTAACACTCTCCTTGGCTAAATTACTGTCCAGTGTGAAGTGCAGGTTTTACATAATAAACTGGATAATAAATATTTCCCACAAAGGTGCTGGAGATGCTTTTAAATATGTATATATATATATATATATATATATATATATAATGTTTTCAGGCTGTGAAATGAGAAATGCTATAAAATTTCTGAATTCTGTTTTTTATATACATTACATTTCTTGCTCTTGGGCATATTGTGGGTCTGATCACATTCATATCCATGTAGGAAATAGTTTCCTTGGCAAACTGGATCATGGCTGAGTAACTATTATCCCTATGGGTTGGCCTTGTGGCATGTTTGAAATGTAAACTGATACGTGGATTTAAACTTGGAGTGATGCCTGCCTCAGTCAAGGTCCTAAGGCTACGGTCTTGCTGATTTGAGGACAACAGGGGAAATTCTGCATTCCTGTACTTCATTTTAGCCTTGCTCCACTGGTGACAGTGATGGGATCTTTCTCTTTTGAAAGAGCAGACTATCATGTCTGAGTTCCCCTACAAAGAGCTGAGAAAAGATCTTTGTCCAGTGTATGCAAATATGTGTTCCTAGGTTGAGAAAGATGAGGATTTTGTTTCTTCTGCTTCTCCAAGTCATTGAACAAAGGAAGAAAAAGAACAGTTTTTAAGGGCTGGCCTCGTATTCCTATAGATCTTCAGCCTAAGGAAAGCATTTGTCTTGCTAGAGATCGACAAATGGCATCTTTTTTTCTTCCTCCTCCTCCTTAGGATAACTAACTAACTAACTAACTAGCTAAAGCCCTTGATTAGGACTGCTGCTAGTAGACTTCCCAGTCTCTGCCTCAGTAAATGAACCAGAGAATCCTGCAGTTGCTGTAAAAGCAGCACTGGCTGCAACAACTACAGTAGCTTTTTTTTCTGATTTTCCTCTTTTCTCAAACAGTTTTGTGAGAGAATGAGACAGCTTTATTATAGCCTAATATTCTGAGGCAGTGAGTGGCCTGGGGTTATGACACTTCAGAGATACAGACTTGGATACACAAAAGAAATCTGTGAAACACGGATATAACAAGATTTTGGAAGGGGTTTTTTTGTTGCGGGTGGGTTTTTCTATTCATGAAAGAATGCATCTATTCTCGTCTCAGGGAGCCAACTATTAACACTCTCTCTGTGCTACTTGTTGAATAGGCTGTTGCAGATAGTTGACTGTTACAGAGAGATACTCTCTGCTTTTATGGGCTGATTCAGCACATTGCAGATATTAATAACACGAACAAAGTTCTACACAGCTGTTGTTTAAATTCAAACATAAAATACTCTGTCCCTCTCCAGTACTGCTCAACATGGGGGTCCATTGGCTTCAGTGAAACTACACTGGATTATCCCAGCTAACAATGGATTTGGCCAACAATGGCTAACACAGTGAACAGACCATTCCAGTAGATGCTCCCTAATGGTAGGTTTCCCTCTAAGGTATATGTGTTTAATTGATTAAAAGATTGAGGAAGGAATACACCAGAAATATCTGTATGTTCCAGGTTGTATTCTTGTCTCATGCTTATATAATTTCAGTGTGAACCTGTCTTAGACAGTGCATCACATCCATGACAAATTGGTATAAATCAAAGGAAAAAAAGGCCCATTTTTTTTTGTTTGCCTTCCCCCCCACCCCCCGAGCCTGGGGCATGACTGTGTGTGTATAAACTACCTTCAAAAACAAACCACTATTTGGAACAATCTAGAGAACCTTCCAGCAATGTGTTTTTGCTGATGTATTGCACCGTGGCATAGCATGGCAGTCTAATCACAGCAGTCATGTCGCACTACTTGAGCGACTTTCAATTGCCTTGCTTGCCCTGCTCTACACAAAATTGCAGGCTGTAACGTGCATAAAAGGACTCAGTGTTTCTTACCTCGGGTTTACGGAGATCCTGAAGACACGACAAATTTTATTTTTGTGATTTTATTGATCGTCGCTGCCCCTTTCACCACCTCAGATGTTTTTCTCAGATGATGCTACCTGCCATTGCCTAAACCAGCTTTTAGCTGGCCAGCACTGTCAGCAGTTCTACCAAATACTAATGGGATTAAAACCCGCAGCTTGGAGAGGAGCCGGAGCAACACAGGTCTGTGCGTGGCTGTGCTGTGTTTTGTTCTTTCCAGTGCTCTGACAGCTGCTGCAGTACATGACACACAGAGGGAGAAAAATACCGTACCTTTTGGGAAGCAGTGGAAGCCAACCTTTACTGAAGTTTTTTCGATTGGAGTACAGTCTTTCATACATTTCAGTACTGGGTCGACAGAGTAGCACGTAGATTCCTCGCCATCAATAGTAGGATTTCGATTCAGCTTCACGTAACTGCGCTGCAGCTTGCACCCTAAGAGGAAAAGGAAAGGTGGTTAAAATTGTAGAAATAAATCCCAATCGATCCTTGCAATAATAAAGGTCCATATTTTCTCTTCAGCTTTTATTAAAAAACAGGTATCTGGCAAACCATTTTCACGGCAGCGAGGTTATCGAGATAGGACAATAATAAGTTGAGGAAAGAGTCTGAAAAGGGAGCTATTTTTAAAATCTAATTGCACAATATAGCCCAAATGGAATCATGTATACTCAGTTTTTTAGAACTACATAATACACAGAAAATAACCTCTCATGTCTGAAAGCTATTAAGAATAGATACTGCAAGGTACAATGGCTACTTCATTGCATTAGGAAAAATGTCAACTGTAGTGAATGGATTAGAAAAAAGGCAGCGTTTATATAATAACATCAAGGATAATTTTTGTATTGGATGATTTTTATAATGCTGCAATTATCTCACTAGAAAGGTATAATGTAACTTAACAGGATCCCAGCTATGACTCCGTTTCCTGACACACAGATAGGTACAATTCCACTGCCACTGAAGTCAAGGAGAAAACAACCATTAACTTCAATAAAGTTATCTCAGGTCCAAGGCAAATGGAGATCTACCAAACAAAACTGTATTGATGTTATGGGAGATGATCATTATTTGTCCAGCTACATGTGAGATGAAGCTCTTTACTGCGGAATTATTTCTAAATATTTTCCTGAGACTGCACTCTCAGATGGTGCAGAACAAAAATGATTTTTTTTGCACTTTGGAAATTTACACTAACGTAGGATCTGACACTGCATTCGTAGTCTGCAACTTGTTTGGTTAAATTAAGTCTGCAGACAACAGCTGAAACTGTCTCGATACAATGGTGAAAATGACCCTTTTTTTTCAGTGGGAGCAAGATTAGGCCTGATTTTGCCTCTCAGTAAAAAAGGTACTCAGTGTAAGAAATCAGAATCAATTATTTAACATTGAACTGCACATGAGACGAAGACTGTTGCTGGAGTATATATTCTCTATATTCACAAGCGATGTTTTAAACAGTCAGTGGTTAATAAAGTTAAAATGGATATATATTGCTATTGCAATTTCTAAGTAAAAGATATCTGCTGCTTTTTTTTTAAAAAAAAATATTTTCTAGCTGTCAGCAGAGGAGAAGTGAAATCGTATTCTCCCCAAGCATAAAGTGTTTCCAGACCTACTCACCCCCCGAGCAGGTTTCTTCTAGCAATACCCATGAGTGAACAAATGCAGAGCAGCTGTGTGCCAGCCTATGGTTTGGCATGAGGAGTTCGTTGTGCTTTTCTCTGTCATTATTACTGCAAACTCCACAGGTCCTTCCTCTCATCCACGAAGCAACGGTAACCTGTAAAACAGCACATCTTTGTAGGGAATACCAAAGTGATGGTCTGTTACATTGGCAAGGTAGTAGGCAGAAAGCAAGCAGTGACTGTGAAAGTGAGCCCAGTACCTTAAGATTCCCACCGTCAAAAGTCACCCTCGTCAGTCCAAGTGTTGGAACTTCCACGATAACTGTTGTCCCGCTTTTGTAAATTTTAACATCACCTGTAAAAAGATGGTGAATCATAAGATGGTGATCTTCTTAATTTGGAATGAACGGAGAAACTGTGCAGCACAAAATACGCCACGATGCATTTTCCTTCACAATGACAGTTTTGCTGCTCCAGTTATATATATTTACATATGCATATTTATGTGGAGAGGAAATAATTCCTTTATTTTCAAAAATATTGTCATGCTGTTACCTGTAGTTGAACCTGACTTTTGTATCCAGTATTTTGTATCTGCTGAATCTTGAGATGATAATGACATTGGTGGTGCTCCAGCTAAATGTCTGAGTCAAGGCATCTATCTGTGACTGTAATAAGCATTTTTTTCCTGAACAATCACCAACCTGGCTATATGATATCTATAGGAAAGGGCTTTATTCATCTGTTAGTTATGCTGGAGGAAAGTAAGAGTGTATATACAATAGGAAACATGAACGTAAGTCAATACAAATCTTAAGAAAGTAGCCTCTAGTTTTATTTTGTATTAATCTCACTCATGTTTTCTTTACACTAAGATTTTACTATGGGATTTATAAAAACTTCCTGATATTTAGTTCCTAGGTCAGTCCTGGAAAGCTGGGTATCACAGCTTACCTTTTTCATACTCAGAAACTCCACTGTGTGATAGAACTCGTTCTTCATTGCATGCCACGAGGAGAGATGAATTTGCGGCAGGACAGATTGTGATGTTCCTTCAGGAGAAGCAAAAATCAAAGAGAAGAAACTCGTGGTTAATTTAAGATGTGAAAAGCACAGATATTTGTGACCAAAGCCAGCAGAGAACCAATTTGAATATCTGAACTTTGGATGAATGAACGAGCAGTTTTTCTTTCCAAAGTGCAAAATTCATTGGGACTTTGGGCTTTGAGATTCAACCTCTAAAGAAAAGACAGCATGGGGACTTAATGAGCATGGTATCAGATATCTGTGGCTGTGAAATTCAAGATGAGAAACTACACCAAAAAGTTGCAGATGAGGATTCCTTCTGGAAATTCTGTCTTTCCCCAAATATCTCATTTGGGGGATTTTTACCATTTTCACCTGGGAACTGGACAACTCCCTGAAACTTTATAGCTCATTGCTGAGCCCGCAGTATAAACCACACTTACGCCAGTGTTGTGTTTATGTGAACCTCTCTGGAGAAAGACTGAGGATCAACCTTTCTGGTGGTAATGATGAATTTCGGGTGTTCAGTACAGTCCTGAGCCACCACCAGGTTGCAGCTTTTATTGAAAGAGTACGAATGGCTCATGCCATCAAATGTTTTGAAATCTCGCTCCCTGACTTCACACGTGGCTGCAAAACAAAACCAGAAAAGAAATGGCAGATGTGACCGTGGTCATTTGCTGCAAAGCATGGAAAGACACCTCTATGAGATTGAACTACCCAGCAAACAGGAAAGAAAACTTCCTCATGTCCTTGAGAGTAAGGAGTCTGTAAGGACAGGAGAATACCACAGAATAACTACTCAGTATAGGCTATACTAGTATTGGTTTTCATTACATGCCAAACACAAAACTCAAGCTAACAGGGGCTGAAATGTACAGAATTGTGTAACAAACTGGGGTAAAACCTCCACATTTCCCCCAGGAGTGCTAGGCACCAACCCATTAGATTCACATGGCTCCTTTTTGAATCCAATACACAGGGCAGAAAATACATGGAGTGTCTTTTACCCATCATCTGTTGCCTCTCAGGGCAGAGTTGGTACCTTCTCAGGGGGAGTAAAAGACAACCTCTAGTCCTTGCAGAGACAGGGGTGATTCCCAAACTCTGAATGTTTACAGCAGATTGAAGTCTCTTCATTCACCTCCCAGCAAACATCCTTCTCTGTGAGGGAATGAGCTGTTGAGAAAGCAGGGCTAGAAATGCTCTGCTTCCCTACAAGACCTCTACAAGGAAAGGCAAAGCCCAGCCATGGCAGGGGATGGATCTACACACATTGCTTATTCACGAGACAAACATATAAGTAACATTTACATTGATCTTCTTGTGCTATTTGTGAAGCTATTTCAGGCAATAAGTTCCAGGCAGTGATATCTCGAGCCTCGTAAGCTGGAGACGGGCCTAAGGGCAGAGTGAATGGCAGTCGGAGTGCCTGGCAGTAAAGTGTTACCTGAAAAAGCAGAAATGAAGAATACATTAAGATGAATTGAACCATATGCTCTTATCTCGAAAAAAAAATAAAAATCTCGAGGATGCTTTTATACGATTGCAGTTGTGTTGGTCTCTCCAGGATGCACCCAAACCTTCGGCTTTTGTGAGGAATCATTGTCGTCTCTCTTCGAGTCATATACTTGGTTTTTTGAAAAATTGTTAAGGATGTTGGAAAGTAGCTGACACAGATGAAGTTTAAGCATTAATTAAGTGACTTCTTAAAAACTTCTTAAAAAATGAGGTAACAAGTTAAGTAACTTGTTACTTAACTTACATCAGTAAACTGATGGATGTGTCTGGAAAAACTGACATGACGTAGCACTGGGGTAAGATCCTTCACTGTAACTAAAAATTATATTTACCAAGAGAACCAAATTAACGCCTAGTGCACCTATTTCTTCATTATCAAGTATTAAAGAGCCTGCACTACTGAAGCACCATGGAAAGTTAAAGACACACTGATTTCTCTGTGCGTGAATAGCTAGATGTTATTAATTTGCTGGAGATCCATAGGGGGAATTTATCAAAGCGGTGCATGGGGATTGGGTGGAGAAGGACCAATTAATCAGTGGGATTCTGCAGACCATGCCTGTGCAAGCTGCTCTGAGAGGGTGACTAACTGCTCCAGTTTGGTTAGGGCAGAGTTGTGTTTGTGGCTGTTGTGACTTGCTCAGACCAGTCACATCAAGCAGGGTTACTGCAGATGTGGGACTTGAGTGCCAGCACAGGCAGATGCTGTTCATGGCTGCAGCAGAGTGCAAAATGTTCTCAAGGCCCCCACTATCTGCTCTGAGACCCCCATTCAAGAACTAGTCACACTGGGTGAAATGAATAAAGAACTGAGTGCAGAGAGGTCATAACTGAAACAGTTTGGGTCTCACTGCTGTTCTCAGCATGTAAATAAGGTATTTGACTACAGAGCCTGATTTTCAACTTACCACTACACTGGACCAAAGCAGCACAAAATCAAGAGAACTGCAGTATTTCAACACCCATCTGATGTATATGGCAGCTTCTCCAAAGGGGAATGTTTTGCTTTTGTTTCTTTACATTAAGCATCAAAATGTTATAACTTGAAACTCTTGCAAGGTAAGGAAGAGGAAAATGAAAACTTAACGCACCTCAGGAACTTTAATTACTGTATCAATTGTTCGTGGAGAGGTTGCAGCTGCCCTTACTATGAATTCATGAGATGGATTTCTCTGATGTGCTTCTGAGAAGCCCAACATAAGTGCTGCACCAGGAACGTATCGCATGAATCTGGAGATAAACAAGATGTGACAAACTCAGGTACAGGAGCAAAAGCACACATGGGAGGGTGAGGACTACTGGCAGACCTGAAAAATCTGGAAAAAATGAAGGGACAGAAAAACCAAGGGAGTAATACTTTGGGTCAAACTAAATGGTTGATTTTATCCAGAAGAAACACGTTGGGTTTATTTTGCCCATTTAAACTGGGTGTTTTTTGAGACTCAATAGAAGAACATTTCCAAACAAAAATGCATTTTGAACTGAAATATCAAATAATTTAATATGGAAAGTCAAATCAACCATGCTAAACTTTTAAATATTTGGGGGTTATCTTTTAATATGAAACACGTGGAGAAAGTAGAACACCTTCTGTGCCACTGAACTGGTGGTTTCCATCACTGCCCACCCAAACCCGTTCGCGTCGAAAAATTTCATTCAATTCCTTCAGCGTTTTTCAAAAGCCAATTGGGGTAAAAAAAAAAAAAAAAAAAAAAAAAAAAAAAAAATAACAACTTAGGAAAGAGTGAATTACATACGCCATGGTTGTCTTTTTTATCCAGGATGGAAGCTTTCCCCATTGCACCTTCAGCTGTGCTGCTGGTTTCCTTGCCAGCCGCCCTGTGGTTGCCACGGCTGCTATCCTATAGTCCTGGCACTCCGTACCCCATCTCAGTCTGGCCTTTAAAAACAGGGAAACAAGTCGCCCAAAATTCAGAAAGGAAGGACAAAACTAACCTTGACCGTTTCAAAAGGCAAGATTTTCTTTCACAAAATTTTGCATCGATCCTTACGCTGCCAATGTTTCTTTCAGCTCTAAACGGGCTCATGGAGAAATTTTGACTACCCCTGGCAAAATCTGGGGCACAGTAGGAAAAAGGTTTGCTGGTCTGTGCAGAGCTACATATACATGTTTCCTGTCTCAAAGCAGCCACTGAAACGTCCTGAGATTTCCTTAGACTTTGTGAGTTCATAATCAGTATGTATTTTTTTCTAAAAGATGACTGTGCTGTAATTTCTATCAACCTTCCCCAAGACCTGCTGATATGAACCCACCCCACTTTTTTCAGTACTGGATATCATGCTGAATTTTTCAATTGCAGCTGCCAAAAGCAGAGGTTTGTAAATTGTTATGCAAAGATCTCTTGCTTTAAAAGGTGCATGGGAAGCACGGCACAGGGAGATGAGGAAAAAGGAAAACCTGTTTTATGATGCTCTCTCAGGCATCAGCCCATTAACCAACTTTGCTTGTTCCATCTTTTCATATAAATCCTAAGAAATACAATGTTGCAAATGCATTTGGGTTATGAGTCTTCTGAAATGAATTATGTATGGAAAAGCAAGATTCCCAGAGAAGAAAACTCATAATAGAGCAGATAATAAATAGATAGTAATGAAGCAGTCAATTTTTCAAACATTTTTTGTGCTTCTACTGGTCATACTTTGATGTCTCTTGAAAATCAATATTTTTTTTTTGCCAGATTTTGAAGTGTCTGAGTCTATTGCTATTATTATTAATTTTTTAGTCGAAAAGAATGGTGAAAGATAGGAACGTTTTCTGAAACTTCACTAACTTTGTGAAACATTTCGAAATAAGTACGCCTTTCCTGTTTAATTCTCCTGATCAGCAGGTTCTCTTGTGCTTACTCTGGGCTTTGTAGATGCCTCTCTGGGCGAGGCTGCCTGTGTGCTTACCTGGGCTTTCAGAGGCAGTATCACAGCATCAGCACATGCTTTCCAATTGGTTTCAGCCAGCTGAACCACAACTAGTTGCACATCAACTTTGGCAGCATCAGAACGAACATATGCTGTAGCTTGATAACCTTGATTTCTGTTGTCACTCCTTACTGCCTGTGCCACAATCGTAATGCCAGGTGGAATCACGTCTCCCAGGAAGTTGCGCTGAAAAACAACCCCCAACCATCTGTGCTTAAGTATTGCTGTGTGCTCACTGGAGAGCCTACGGTCCAGTTTATGTGTGCTGATAGCAGGAAGCCTCCCTTGTCCTTCATCACTTTAGTTTGCAGCACATATTTCTATATCCCCAACAGGCAAGGATAAATTTTGTGGGAAACTTGATAATTCATAAATTTTCAAAGGCGTGATTGTTTTGATGAGGGATCCAAGACTCTTCCAAATTATCTTTATGCATATAATAAGATTTTGTTCATTATTGTAATATTTTGAATAGCTGCCTACAACACATCCCAAAGATCTTGAGAGCATTATACACATTCGCAACTTATTGCACTATACTACAGTTTCTTCAAGCCACTCAAATATTTTCAAATCCTTCCCAGTAGCAGAACTCCCCTAGACATTGCCTGCATTTGCAGAGATATTTGTTCTATTATTATGTAGATACCTTTATGTAGTACAATTATAGAATACTAAGTGCATAATAAAGATGATCTGTGCTTAATGGGTCTTCACATTTACCAGTCAGTAATGCCCATGGAAAGTCTGATTTTAGTTATACAATGCATGAACTCATGACCTCCGGTCTACATCTAAAAAAATAATTAGGCAGAGTTATTTATTTCCTCCTCATTTTTACCTGAATGCAGCTGATTTTGCATTCTGGGCTTTCATAGGGAAAATAAAATTCTCTTCCCTTTAACTTACAACTCCCTTCCCTTCAACTTTTATAATTTCCAAATCCACGCTTCCCCATACTGCAAACGCCCTCAGAAATGAAGCATCATAAACCAAAGAAACCAGGAAACAAAAGCCTGAACGCAAGAGAATTTGGAAAAAAAATATTTTTTTTTTTTGGGGGGGGAGAATATCTCAGTGGACTTTGATTTTCAGTTTATAAACTTGACTTTTAGTGTCCCAGCCCTGAGCTGGTCAGTGCCACCCCATCTCCAGCTGCTGCTCAGCAGCCGCACACGCGGCCGTACCTCCCGCCCCAGGCTGGAGCTGTGGCTGTGCTGGTGGCTGCTGACTCTTCTGCTCCTCCTTGAGCTGTGGGCAGAATTTTCTCCATGGTGGTGGCTGCTGCTGCTGCTCAGATGACTGCTCCTGCTGCTGCTGCTCCTGCTGCTTCTGTTTCTGTGGGTGCTTCCCGACTCAGAGGAAGATGATGATGAGCTGCTTGATCCCTTATGGTCTGGATGCTGTGAAATAAAAATAGGTTAAAAATCTGTGATATGGCCTCTAGTTTTATAGTGTAAGTATCAAAACCAGAGATCTCAGATTCCCTTTATAGGTAACAGACATATCTAGAGTGTTATTTTTATTATCATACACAGACATGAAGTACGTTGGGTAGGAATGTGCCTTGGATCCACCTGGGCCTCTCTGCTGAAAGGAAGGCTGCATAGACAGTGATTGCAAATGGCAATGTCACACTGTTCAGGTCTAATGCTAGGGAAAATGAAAAGTGACATTTAATAAGTGGTCAAATGTATCCATATGCAGAAAAAAAAAGATATTACAATTTAATGAAAAACACTGTAAATCATCTTCCTCTTTCACAAGCAGGATACATAATAACTGTACAGGTAACACCTACAAAATCACTACATTATCACCCTTCTAATATATACTAAAAATACCTTTGTGTCATAATGCATACTGAATCTGGTTTCTGAAAAAATCCACATACCTAATGATTTTGCCCATGATTGCCTAAAAACTGTGAACCTAACTATTCCCATAGGAAGATCCTGCTGTTTTATAATTCCCCGATGGTCTTCGTTAATCCAGCTTTGGTTGCATTATACATCATCTACTGCAAAGGTGTCTTAACCCAAATTTGAGGACTGCAAGTGCTGCAATAACAAAAAGATGTAGTATAACGGCATTTTTGTAATAAATCTGCTGATTTTGGCCATTGTCAGTATTGTTATTGGACAGTATGGAATGGTCAAGTGAAATGGCCCAAACAAAGCCCTTCAGTAAAGTGCTTGACCATATCAACTGTGGCTACCATAGCAATGTGCAGTGAATTAGGGACCTACCCAATGGATGTGAGCAGACCTGAAGCGGAGACGGTATACTTTTGGAAGGTGCAATTCCTGCAAAATTCCAAAAGAAGTTATTACCTACAGCTCAGTCAAGATCACCTCCTAGCAGAAGTCAAAGTATTAGAAATTTTACCCGTTCTGTAGACATGTCATAACTGCTGAGACTGTTAATTTGGGACTGGACACGTTCCCTCTCAGCTCGTTTGTCAGATGTGCCGTGACCACGGGAAGCACCGGAGCTTTCGCTGCTGCTGCTGCTGCCGATGCCACTGCTGGTGCTACTGCTGCTACTGCTGCTACTCCCTGGTTTGGGCTTCTGCTCACGGACACTTCCCTCTCCTTCAGCAGCGCTGGCACGTGCAAATGGTGTGCTCTTGGACTGCTTCTTAGCCTTATGCTTTATACCAGATGCTTTGCTACTGCTGCTGCTGCTACCTGTGCTGCCTCTGGTGCTGCCTTTGCTGCTGCTACTACTGCTTCTGCTGCTGCTACTACTGCTTCTGCTGCTACTGCCCTTGCTGCTGCTGTCCTTGCTGCTGCTACTGCTACTACTGCTACTGCTTTTGCTACTGCTACTACTGCTCTTGCTGCTACTACTGCTCTTACTACTACTACTATTTTTGCTACTGCTACTACTACTGCTCTTGCTACTACTACTGTTTTTGCTACTACTACTGCTGCTTTTGCTACTACTACTGCTGCTTTTACTGCTGCTACTACTGCTTTTGCTGCTACTACTATCACTACTACTGCCACTGCTGCTGCTACTACTGCTATCACTACTACTGCCACTGCTGCTGCTACTACTGCTGCTGCTACTGCTACCACCACTGCTGCTGCTACTGCTGCTGTCCCCAAATGGGTAGAATTTCTTTTCTTTGGCTTTGGACTGTCTTGTTTTCAGATTCATCTGAGTGCCTCCCTGTGGTGCTCTCCCGTCAGAGTCACTGCTGGAGGGGCTGCTCGTTGTGCTCTCGGCGCTCCCGCTGGTGCTGCTGGCACTGGACGATGAGCTTCTGTCTTTTCTTGTCCCCTGGTCAGTGGTAGCATTGGCAAAACAAAATTACTTTGCTGTGTTCTTGCAAAACACCGCGAGTCAAATCAGATGCAGAGATTTCTGAATCTCTGCTTAGAAGACAATGTGTACTCCTGGTAGCATCTCTGCAGCACGTCACAATAATTCAAAGGCAAATTCATAATAAGGTGTTAAACCCACATGTAAGCAGAACAATACCCCAAACACTCTTGTGATAACCAACATGTGCAGGAGTTGTCGGCCACACAATTACATGTAATTGGTGTTGGTAATGACTGTCCTACTATCTCATGGCAGGTAGGTGTCAGACTGTTTTGGTGCAGTTGCAGTAGCAGGAAAGAGCAGACTACCCCTTGGGGACACAACAGCTATTTTATGTCTTACAAGAGGTTTTCGGAAAAGCCTACAAAACCAACCTGCTCTTTCTAATGTTCTTCACCTGCAGAAGAGATGAGTGCAAACAAAAGACCTGCAGAAAGACTTGTGTACCCAAAAGCCTGTCTTTACATTTTTCAGTTTCTGAATATTGTCTAAACAAAGGAAGATATTTAGTAAAAGAAATATAAATAACTAAACTTTGTGTAGTGTCTCACACAAATTTAGAATTTTACAGCAGTACCTGGTCATCAGTGTCACCAAGGATTTTTTTCAATTTTTTAATTGCTTCTTTTCTGGAAGATGCTTGTGCCTCTGGATCTTCAAATTTTACCAGACGTACCATTTTTGTAGGAGCTTGGTCTCCTGCTTGAATTGTGACTTGTATTTTTTCAATAGGTGCCTCTGTGTAAACTGAAATTTCATGACAATTAGTATTACTGTTAGTATTAGCAACCAAATGAGAGAATAACCCAATTTTCCCATAATTTAGTTAGGCTTTTTTTTTCTTAAATATGAATGCTTAATGATTATTACTGGTATTCAGCAATTTTGTTAAAAATTTTCTCTAACAGCTAAAGCACATACTGGCAGCAAAATTTTAAAATATTCTTATGATACTGGATTCTTTTCAAGTCAATAAACAGAGTAATCAACAGATTTAAGTCAAGTGAATTGGGTTGCTTAACAAGATAACACATGGTTAGGGAATTAGGCATCAGAGAGGAGTTGAGGCTCAATTCTTGAATTATAAAGAATGGTCCAATGGCTAGGCCATTCGTTTGATACTTAGGAGACCTAGATTCAGTGGCCTGCTGTGCTTTTATTTCTTATGATTGTGGATTAAGACATTAAGGACTAGATCCTGGCAGGGTTAATCCATAATTCCCTTTAAGAGTCTGGGTTTTTAGAATGTAGCTACAGGACACTGCATCAAATCTGTTGCCCATGTCCAATTGCTTCGTGCTTGCATCCCAAATCCAGTGATTCAGGATGCATCAGACACACTCTGCAGGCACAGATCAGCCCTGCTTGAGGCTGGTCATGCTGAGTGGCACTGCTGGGAGAGCCGGGAAATCGCTGCTCGGGCGATCGGGGAGAAATGGATTCCTGCTGCCAGCAGAGCCCGCTGCCAACACTGGCAGACCTGCTACTTCTAATGGTAGTTTTAGTGGTACTTAAGATGCAAAAACCATGTATGTGTGTACACACCCCCCCACTCACCCACTGTTTTCTGTTCTGTGCACAGTCGTACTTACCTGGCTTGAGGCTCATGCTCAGGGCGTGCTCTCCAACGAGGTAATAAAGAGGCACGTTTTTGATAAATGCTGCATGCACACTTTTCCTCTCAAGGCACACTTGAACCCCAAATGTACTTGCATTGGAACACATGGACTGAACAAACGGATCTTTTCGGGAAGAAGAGCGTCCGAAAGAGAAGGGATTTCCTGATGAAACATCCTCTGCAGACTGTCTCTCCTATTAGGTAGCACACATGTCAAGTTAAACTGGACAACAGTAAGAGGAATACTTGCATGTTATGCATCCTGTTTTGGTAATAGTTACATGTACTGTGCATGAGGAAGGAAGAAGTTTATTCAAGACAGCAAGGCTGTGACATGGGACAACTTGGTTTTAAATTGGAGAAGATTATCATCTCAATCGGTTGATTAGACCATCTCCTGTAAAAAGAGCTTCAGGCTATAGGAATGGAAAATTATATTACAAATTAATTCTAAATATTTAATTTTGTTTTCCTGGTGTATTAGATAGTGTTAACAGGTTCTTGATAAAACTGAGTGAGCTCTAGACTGCCTGGAGTTTTTTCCTTTGATTTTTGATTGGGTGAGACGAGAATTTTCAACTACGTCCACGAAAATTCTGTCAGTTGAGGTCTGACGTGATACTATATCAATTAGATGGTCAAAACATATCATATATTAGATATTTCCACTAAAAACTATGTAATTTACATGTACTAAGCAATGCTTGCTGAAGAACAAATTAAAATTAATTAAAACTGGAATCAAATCCATGAAATGAAAACTATGACTTCCTGAAGCAGTGAAACAAATATGCAAAGACACATAATCATAAGCTTTGACTTCTCATGTAATTCAAGTTGGCAATTAATTTTTTTACTCAGTTTATCATGTCTCACAAGATTCCAAACTTGCACGAACCCCACCAAAAAAATGAAATTTCTAATGATGCTGGGAAATGCTCTGCTTAGTGCCATTGTTCAGTTGCTGTTCATTTAAGAATGAACTCAGTGGAACGCTGAGTTTTCAGGAAGGGCAGCACAGAGGCACAAAGCACAAGAATGTAGCTTGTTCCAGGATATTGGAAACTACTCTCGCTGATGGCACGTTTGTCTATTGACTTCTCCATGGGAAAGTGCTGTACTTGTCCTCTGTTCATCTCTTATTTTATCTGAAAACCCTTCAGAGTCACACATCAATGAAACCAGAACAGGACAGTGCATTCCTCACCTCTGTCAGTCTTCCATGGAATGAATTGTCACAGCAATGCCATCACAGTGCTGCCTATCTCAGAAAGCCTGTACTGGCTTTTATGGAAACAAGGCTCAGGAAAGTCATCAGACTTGACACACAAGCTTCCATCCCTCCTCGAATCAGGATGCTTGTAAAGCATTAAATTTATCTCTACAGGTTGAGTAGTGGAGCATCTTGAGGAACATTTGTGACTACCCCAGGAATGTGATGCTTGCATAATGGTTGCAAAGTATTTTAAAGATTGTGGGCCTATCCTGTAGATGGCAGTGTAAAATTAATTACCAAAGGAAATGCTTTTGCTTTAGAAAAAGTGTTGCAAGCCTGATGTATTACACTCCAGATTTTAAAATAATGTTACTACAGGGCTATTTGTGTTATTAGATTGAACCTGACTTAGTTTGAGTGAAGCAGCACTGCTTCACGGAGATGAATTGTACCTTTTCCTATGGAGAAAAGAAATGGTCCCCTACTGATTAAAAGCCCAAAAAAGAATAGTCAGACGCTACATCATTTACCCTGATGTTATCGGTCTCGCCTGACGCAGAGTCTGAATCGAAGGACATCTTCATTATGTCAGGCACTGCTTCAGGTAGAAGAACTGGAGTCATCTTACTAGCAGCCAAATCCCCAATATTTCGTGTGATAGCAAATGTCTTAGACCTGCAGAATAAACATTAGAGGAAACCTGTATTGATAAAGCACTGCTGAGGAAAAGGTCTGAATAATGCCTTGTAGCACGTACTCAGCAACAAGTATCACACCTTGCAAATTGCTTTACAGATATTTACAGCATCCTTCCTGTTAGTTGTGTTTTCAAGGACTGCTAAGAGTAAATAAAGACACAGACCAATCTCAGGGGCAGATAGCTCAGTCAGGCTTTTAGAATCACTAGTCCAGGTTAAAAGCATTGCAGCCGGTCAGATCTCCATAGCCTGACTCCTGGAACAACAGTGCACCTACTTAGAAGCCTGGCTGTGGATTACTGCTTTTTTGAGTCTCCTATTTTGACCTGGACTTCTAAATTTTTAAACTAATTTTCTCTGACTTCACTGCACTAGGCTTAGTTCTAATTTCTTTTGACATTATATTAGGGAAAATACTGCCATAACTTCAAAAAACAACCTGGGGACTGGAGGCTACTGGATGCTGTTTCCTGTGCAATTTTTATTAAAGCAGAATTGAAGAAAGGAGCCTGAAATCATCAAAGTGTCTCCATCTGGATTTAAATTCACTGGTACTCAGATCTTGGCCATGGCTTGGCAAGACATCACAGAGAGATGTGTAGGAAGGTTAAAAGCTTATTCATGTAAATGTGTTCAGTACTTTGTTTCCAGCGTTGTGAACTCTAAGCATCTTAGCCAGGATCCAGGAGAAGTGATATAAGGTGCAGCACGAGGCTGAGGCTCCCATGGCTGAATATCCTGACCCCCTGGCTCCATAACCCACTTCTTTATGGACTTTGTAACAGTGCCGTGATAATTATGAGTTTTGTTTTCAGTCAGAGAAACATCTGGAATGCTGAACACTTTTGAGAGAGCTATTAGCACTGGGCTAACTCTACCTTATTAGCCACTTATCAGCGCTAACATCCGGCTCAAAAGTCCCCATGTGCTGTTTGTCAAGGATGGAGCTGGTCTGTTTGCCCTTGGGCTTTTGTGGTCTGCCCATGGAGGAGGCTGCTGTGACAGTGAATGGAAAGATGGTCTCAGAATGGTCTCTATTTTAATACGGTCTACACTGTACTAGCCTGAGCAATTCCAATCTAACCCATTTGAAAGATGAATTTGTATTCATTTGATAGCCCTCTCTTCCTCTTGAAGGCTCCTACCGTGCTGTGTGCAGTGTAAAGCACACAATTGCTCTTCATGTGGAACACCTCAATAAAACGTGTGTCACCTGTGGGCTTTGTTTTCTTTTCCATCTCTCTCCTTTTTTAGATAAGGACATGACAGCAACGCTCCACGCTGGGTGATAGGAGAACCTTGAAGAATGGAATCTGAAATAAAATATTCTCCCTAACAAGCTGAGGGGATAAAAGAAAATACAAATCAACTTGCATTTCAGATGGCTCATCTGGGTAAAGAGACAAAAAGGGGACACGGTTTTATTTTAATCCCATTCAATAATTCAAATGACCACTGAACTGCAGGCTGGATCTCCAAGCAGAAAGCCCTGGGGTTTCTTTTCCAATTTTTCTTTTTTTTTTTAGTATTTTTATGCCAATAGTCTACTCCTGCCACCTAATGAAAGAGAAGGATCGATTCCTCCCCGTTGAGCACAGAGAGCCGACAAATGTAGCTGCATCACAGGTGACACATGTCAGTGTCTGCAGAATCACACGGCACGGTAAAAATAGGCTACAAGAGCCAGCTCTGGTGCTTTAACAAGAAAAAACAGTCACAAAGAAGGCCTAAAGCTATGGTATGAAAGAATCTGTTCTCTCTGATCCCACACAAGGGAGAAAAAATAAAAAGGAGATTTTCCAATATGTATTAGCGCATTTTTTGGATGAGAGAAGAAGCTGTGCTGTAATATAAGCCAAACTCGCTGCAGGGGTAAGGGACAAGCAATTCAGCTATGTTGGGCCCACTGATGTTTCAGAGAGTGTGGCCTTGCATACGTCCCTAACACGGGGACAGAAGAACTTAATGTCTGCTTAAAACAAAAAAAACCAATCAATAAACCAAAAATTTTCTCAGGTTTTAAAGCTCAGCGTGACATCACATCTGAATAAATGAGAAGCGGGAGGCAATCACACAGCCAGGCCTTTAGCTCTCTTTCTGCTGTGGTGAAACAAAAATTTCTGCCTTTCCTACGCATCTTCCTCCTGACCTTGGTACAAAAGTGATATAAAAACAGAGAGTTGGAGCTGTTTCCCTCTCCTGCCCCCAAACACACGGCGCTGCCTCGCGAGCTCACAGCGCGCTCTGGTTCTTCTGCGTTTTCTGCTACTCGTGGTGTGGCATGTTGGGCAAAGTGTTGTGATTTCCTAATTCATCTTAGAAAAAAGATGCCCGTGTGAAGGAATTTCTGCTTATCCTACAGTTAAAACAAGCAAAAAAGCCATATGATGCAAGCTCTATTCAAGATTGTGTATGTACTTCAGTAGCCTGTTATTATGAATATGTGATATATTAGCAAAGTGCATTTTCTGGCAGCTCTCCATATTTATACTTTAATCACAGGGCTCTAATTTCCCCTGAAATTTATTTGATTTTTACTTTTTCTTGTAAATTTTGTTTAAAAGTGCGTTGAAGTAGCCATCTGTAGTATACTAAACAATTATGTTAAAAGAGCCTTAAAAATAACCATTATTTTTAATTAAATTTAACTTTGATAAGATTGAATTGAAACACATGTTATATATTCTCCCCATAGCATGATTAATTATTTTGCTCTGATTTCTGCTATAGAGAGAGTCGAGTCCGTAATGTGCTGATTTGTCTTGGGAATGCAATCTCTCTATGACCAAAGTTTTCATTACTTTTTTTTTTCTTTAGAGTCTGTGATTGCTTGCCTGAATTTCTCTTAGGCTCCTGAAAATTTATATAAATCCCACTGCTGTGACACCTGTATGGTGTGTAGGATATAAATGAACTTAATGCTATTGAAGACTGTTTTTTTTCTGTGTCTGGATGTGAGATGGAGGGGAAAATACTACCACATCCTGCCTAGCTTTAATGACATGGTACTGTAGAAGGTAACCTGCTGACCATTGAGACAGTACCCAACACTGCTACATTTGGAACAGAGCTCACAAACAAATGAAAGATCAATAGTTTTCTAGAACTATTTCTTTAGATGGGGGACTGAAAGCTAACAAAGGAAGGTGTCACAATATCCCTAAAATATTGACTTCAGTTGGTTCTTTACTCTTTAACGATTTAATGGATCTATGCAAAAGGAAGAGAAAGACTATGTTGAACTAAAATTTTTGACTCATTCTATGTAGACTATATCTCTCTATATATATCCTTTTTCTCTCTACCATGCTGCTTGTTTCTCTTCACACCTTTAAGATTTTACTTTGCTTGGTCTTTGACCCCCTCAGTGATGTGGTTCAGTGTTATATTCTCTAGTTATTGCTTCACCTTTACTTGCACTCACTGCTGTTTCATTGCTCTGTGTGGTTTGTACTGACCATTTGTTTTGTAACAATGAACAGGAATGATTTTTGGAGAGGAATCGATGGTGCTAAAAGTTAGCTAGTGAGTATTAGCTTTCTCATATACTTGGCATTATAGAGCTATTTCCAGGTGACTACTTCACTTTATAAATAGCAATGCTGCAGGGTCTGGAGCAGGGCTTGGGTTGGAACTCATGGGCTCCTCTTCTGCAATCCCATGTTTCTGATACTGACTTACTTTCTGCTCTCTGGCAAGGCATTTAACCCTACTTTGTGTCTTCTTTGACACAAAGCGTGTGTCAAAGTAGGAAATATTTTTTGTTTTGCTTTGCAGGGGGGATTCTGCTAATATTTGTAGCTCTGCTTGAGGCTCTAAACTCTGTATCGGTGTTCAATATTCTCATTTCAGTTCAGCATCCTTACTGAGTTCATTAATATCCTCCTCACCCTCTCTAACAGTGAGGGTTAGTAAGAGTGGGTGCCTGCTTCCCTGATGACCTTGGGAGCAGACTGTCCTGGCCTCCTCAAGAAACTGAACCAAACAAAACCTGCAGCTAACTCTTGCTGCATGAAGTGCTGAGACCCTCCCTGCTTTGCCCGGAGAGCCTTATTACAGTCACACCTGATGGAGTGGAGGACTTGTCTTAGGGAGGAAGATGTGATGCCAAATACACGTCAAATGGTCTGTGACTGTTGGAGGGCAAGGGAGAACAATGATCAGCCCACGTGGTGGCTAAACTGAGGAGACCTGTAGAGCGTCTCTGGGCCAGCAGCCACGGATGCTAATTGCAGATGCTAATTGCAGCTGGATCAAGACACTGAGCTCTTTTGTTATGGCTGCATTCCTAGAGCAGAAACTTGTTAACATTTCAATGGATTGTATAATAGCCGACTTCTCTTGTCAGTGATGCTTTTTCCTTTGTGATGACTTTTCAGCTTGTCTTTCTCAGTTGTTTTTCATGTGTGTGTGTGTGTGTGTGTGTGTGAAGGTTTTCTAAGTTTGGTCTACTGCTTTGATTCCTTGGACATACTCTTTCTGTTTCCTTTCTCTCTTTGTGCTTGTATTTCCATCTGTTTTCATTTGTTTGGCATCTGGCTACAACAGTTTTCCAGAGTGTATTGTAATTGCATGCACTGATAATAAATCAAGTAGACCTAACAGGTAAGAAAACCAAATGGCAGCCACAGGAAAACAAGGTAAAAACACAAGAAACATCAAATCCTCTATGCTTCAAGGCATAAAATGCAAATATAGATGGGTTATCTGTTCTAACTGATAGGATTCAGCTGGCTTATATCTTACCTACTGTCCCCAGTTCAAACATTTGTAACGAGATAGAAATTTTATGTCATTTAAGTTTCAAGTAGCTTATGGATCTCGACAATTGAGATACAGTTGTAAGGAGGATTTCCAGGTGAAGACCATGGGCAGCAACATGTATTTGCAAGCAAAGCTTTGGGGCATGCCACTTCATTTAAAATAACCATAAACCACACCAATCATCACATAACATCAGTTATCCAAGCTGTAAGTCAAACCCAAGATCCCTAAGCAAATATTCTGGTTTATTTAGAAGACTGTGCTTTGCTACATAGAAAGGTGCCAAGTGCCGTGTCTTACCTTACGCTAATTATGTCAGTCTCATCTTTACATGGTGGAATTTCGATTCTGATGTTTTTTTCCTTCATATTGACAGTGGCAACGACATTCACAGGTACGTGAGCATCCACTTTGGCACGTGCTTCCAGCCCTGCCTGGATAGTGCGTGTGTTGATTCCCATCACGAAGGTCATCTCCTTGGCCATGCTGAAAAGGTGGAGTGAGGGTATAATTATGTTCAGGCAGCAAGCAGTTGGTGCATTTTTATGGCCTCTGCCACTCGAAAATATTATTCTTTTACTTTATACTAAATATTTACCTTAGACTCATTTTGGATCTCAGCCTGATGTTGGCATTTAGCAACTCAGTCAATCTGAAATCAGACTTTGGAGAAGGTGTAATCTGCGCTTGAACTATTACAGAGAAAGCAAAGAAAGTGTTAAAAATGCCCTCCAATCCTGGCAAGCACGTTTGGATTGCTCAAGTAATGAGATATATTACCATTTCCTGCCGCTTTTGTGATGGAAGAGTAATAGAAGCTGGTCTCCGTTGGGAACCCCGTGCAGGTGGGCACGATGCGACGGATCTCAGAGGACAGGAGAGCCTTGGTCCACTGCCTCCCTACACCACTCTGAAGGCTACTGATTATTCTCCTTAGTGAAGGGGTTTTTTCGTCAGATCCGTACCATGCCTGAAATTACAGAGTTCAACACACCTGAATAAGCAGAACTTGAATATCATGATCTGTGTCATTAACTGTGCCTCAGGGGAAATTCTGCCAGCAATGATTGTAACTAATCCTGATCAGAGCTTGACCTTAATTACCTTGATTAATATTGAAGACAAAAAAACCCCCACCAACCTTGAATTAAAAAGTTAGAAAAAGGGAGAGAACGTGTGAGAGAAGCAAAATTTTAGAGCTTTTGATTCTTGGCTGGTGGTATTTTCAAAACAATACCTGCAGTGCATTTTGGATGGTGTTTTTATCAAGTCCACCAAAGAACAACTCCTGGCCAAACATCTTCAAGTAGCCTGATGCAAAAGGTTTGTCACTGGAGAATGCCTTCCAGTCAGAGAGCTGCACAGGAAGATGAAAAAAGTCTAATTCTTCATAACATTTGAGGAAGTGATATCTCAGAGATTCTCTTTTCCCCCAGAATTTACCGTTTTCAGGATTTTCTTGAAGTCATAGTCATTCTCCCAGTCCCTGTCAGGAGAGTAACCTTTAGCAAACATCTCCTGCAGTCCTTCAACTGTTATTCCCACCTGTGGGAAGAAGTAGAGTGTAAATGTCAATTGGATGGTGGTTGTAAGAAGGGATTAGAAGGTGAACTGTGGGCAGACCCAATTACCTCCAAGGGATCAGCCACTCTTCCAAGGAAATGTGTCTGCAGCTGGGACATTACCATCGTTGGAATTGAGCTGCCTGCATTATTCAATACCAAATATTTAGCTGCCAGCCCACTCATAAGGAACTCTGAAGAGAAACAGAGAGTAAGACATAGCACAGTTAGTTTTCAAGTCCCACTGTGCAGATTGTATGTATTTACTAATTTCGTAATTCAACTGCTACAGCATGATATGAGCAAGGCCAGAAAACCCAGCTATAAAACTGATGTAATAAAACAGTTATAAACAGAATATTTTGCATTTTTTTCAGCTAATAATGGGCAAAGTTACAAGCCTCCTGATCACTGCATGGTGGTTATGCTTTTTTCCCAGTTGTTTCTGCATCACAGAATCATAGAATGGGAGCTCAATGTTGAAAGGGAACTCGAGGATCATCTGGTTCCAACCCCCCTGCTGTGGGCAGGGGCACCTTCCACTAGACCAGTTTGCTCAAAGCCCCATCCAACCTGGCCTTGGACACTTCCAGGGATGAGACATCCACAGCTTCTCTGGGCAACCTGTTCCAGTGTCTCGTCACCCTCACAGTAAAGGATTTCTTCCTAATATCTGATATAAACCTATTCTCTGTCAGTTTGAAACCATTCTCCCTTGTCCTATCACTGCCCTTTACACCCTTGTGTAAAGTCCCTCTCCAGCTCTCTTGTTGTCTCCCTTCAGGTACCTAAAGGCCACAATGAGGTTGCCCCAAAGCCTTCTCTTCTCCAGGCTGAACAATCCCAATTCTCTCAGCCTTCCCTCATAGGAGAGGAGCTCCATCCACCTCATCATCTCAGTGATCCTCCTTTGGACTTGCTACAGCAGGTTGATGTTGTTCCTGTGCTGGAAACCCCAGAGCTGGATGCAACACTCAAGGTGGGGTCTCACAAGAGCAGAGTAGAGGAGCAGAATCACCTCCCTTGACCTGCTGGCCACGCTGTTTTGATGCAGTCCAAGCTACAATTGGCTTTCTGGGCTGCAAGCACAGGTTGCCAGCTCATGTCCAGGTTCTCATCAACCAGCACCCCCCAGTCCTTCTTGGCAGAGCTGCTCTTGATCTGTTTGTCCCTCAGACTGTGTTGATACAAGGGGTTGCCCCAACCCAGGTGCAGCACCTGGCACTTGATCTTGTTGAACCCCAGGGGATTCCTATGGGCCCAACTTGTCCGAGTGTGGAAAATCCACCTGCTCCTATCCTTTCCATCCAGTCAGATTCTGTAGTGTCAGCTTATGAAATGCTTTTATGAGACATCATTTAGGGCACCCTGACAAAGGGGATCAGAAATGAAAACAGATTTGCCATCCTTTGTTAATAGTTTAGGGAAAGTGATACAGATGTCCTATAAGGACAGATGGTGAGCTATAGATTTGTCTCTCAAATGACTCAGAGGCAATTTAATACATCTAGTTCCAAATGCTGTAATCCTTACATGGAATGCAACAATTGTTAAGTTATAGTTAACTACCGAGTGAACTTTGAGCAAACATAATTTGTTTCTATTTATTTCCTCTATTTAGATTTATCATCTACTATGTTTTTAGAGACAGATAATCAGTGCAGAACACAGTCATATATTCTTCATGATCTCTGCACAGTTATACCCTGTCCTGTTTTATGAGTTAAAGTAATCCCGAGGCTTTTTCAAGTTTCCCTAAGTTTCAAAAGGAGTAAGGCTGACAGGATACATAGGCATCCTTGTTGTGCTTCCTTTCTTCCAGCCCTCCTCTCTCTTCTCTTTCTACACCACTTGGAGGACAGGCAATTATGTATGAACTGGAATTTTACTACCCTGCCTTCACTGTTTCGCTGTATGAAGCTTCTGTGCTATTTAAAGTGCTGGACACTATTTACCTACAACGTGTGAGGTTCAGTAACAGCTCCTGCAGTCAAAACACAGTTTTTATGTCACCCCACTGTGGTCAGAAAAATAAGAGGAGAACCTTCAGCAGATAGTAAGGAGACAAAAGCTCACATTTGAATGCTGATCCTCTAGAGAATGAAAAGCAAAGTGATGCCATACTGGGACATTACTGATGAGTTGACAAGAGACTTGGAAATATGAAGGTTTTTTTTCTCTGAATGAGCTTAGCCAGAGCAATCCTAGGTGTTACAAAGACTGGACATTAGAAATAAGGCACAGTATTTTACTGAATTTGTTAAAGCTCTTTTTCATGTTCTAACCCATGAAAACTATTAGTTAAAAACTCTGCAGTGCTTCCTGATACTTAATAAGAAGTGTTGCTTATAAATGATTGAATGATTATATAGAATTCGTTAACTTGAAGAGAGCAGGAATATTTTCCATACCTCAGGCTTTACATAGTGCTAATGCTCTAAGAAAATGTTTGCCACTTTACTGTGACAGTGTGATGACACCTGCATAGATCTAACTGAATGCCTTGCCCCAAAGATGAGGGAAAGAAAAATTAGTGATCAGAGAAAGGAATCTTTGGTACCTATTAACATTAGTACACATATTAATTATATGAATCTGAGAGTCAGGTTCTCTCAGTCCTCACAAGAAGCAGAACCTGTGTCACCCCTATGATTTCAGTAGCAGTGTGTGGAGCACGAAGCACCATCTGTGGTGGCCATGTGTGACAGATTCCAGATTAGAGATAGATTCAGCTGACACTATTGCCTGTCATTAAAAATTCAGCATCGAGCACCACAAAGATCTGTGGTGCTGAGGGCAGAGTTTTGTTTTTATCAAGGAAACAGGTAGTACATTAGAGCTGTCACTATGGTAACTCCTCCAGGATGGACTCAGTGAGACACATTGCACCTGTGCCTGGTGGTGACAAATCAAATCAGAAAGCTGGAGGATGGATCCTCTTCCCATGCCGGTGTAGGAAGAGATTGACTTAATTTAGCTGAGTTATCCAACTCTCAGACTAGCATGTGTGAGAAAAGGAGCTTGTTCTTTGTTCTTCAAGGATGAGAGGTTTAGATTGTAACCAAATTTCTGACAGTGTTCTTTACCTGGAAGTAACAGCAATTCCCTGATGTGCTGCATTTCCAGGCTACAGCCAGAATAAAAGATTCCATTTCACATAGCCCCTTGCCAGCATCCCTCATGCATACTGCACCCTTTTTTCTCACTGTGTGAAAATTCAAATAGCTTAACTTTAAAAGCAAAGATAGGAAGGCAAAACGAGTGCCTAAAACAAGAAACACATCTGCAAATTAATAGAAAAATGTATCTATCCCTAAATGCATTTTAAATAGTAAAAAAGTTCACATTCATTCACATGTATTAGTGACTGTATTTCTTTGGGCACTCTCTGTCTCCATCACTGAGGATGGAGATGGATATACTATACACAGCAAGCAGTGTATGGTATATTACTGTGATTGTTGCTGTATGTATTACATTTATTTCTACTATGGAGTAGATTAAATGGTCATGTAAAACCCACAAAACTGGGACAGGACACTAATAAGATCTACAGAAGTCCTTCAAACCACATCCCTGCCTCAAAAAAGAAGGCAGAAGTACTCATGCACTCAGACAGTGAATTTCAGATATTTCAGAGTCTGACACTGATTACTTTAAAAAAAATGTTATCATGTACCAGTGAATAACAAAAGTGCTAAAACCATCCAACTCCTGACAGATAAAAAGCATGTATAAGGAGACTGTGTTTGGAGATATAATCTCCCTACTCTGCTGGCTACATATGCCCAATCATGAGGTTGCCATGGCCATTTACATAGGGCAGTTGCTTAAAAAACCTACTGAGAAAAATAACATATATGGGAAATAACAACAGCTACACTTTGGCCCATCAGGACCTGTCTTCTAATCTGGTCCTCCCTGCTTTGACTGCATTTTTATGTGCTACTCCCTTTGATGTGACTGGTCAGTCTCCAGATCCTGTGCATGGATCTGCTTATTCCAGCAAAGAATCCTGGTAGGAAGATGCAAGAAAGATCTTTAGATGAAAAGCCTGAGGTAGCTGCTCCTGGGTGCAATGAATTGTCACATGTAAATGTTTTCAGAGTTTTCTGTTTTGCTGGGCACAACTGTTGGGGTGAAGAATACTTAGCATCACATTTGAATTCAGCAGGAGTTGTAGGTGTTCAACACCAGTGGAAATTAATCCACTTCAGCAGTAATTTAGGTCCCTTCTGTTTGTTTGGTGCTGAACAATGGTATGAAATTGTTAAGCACCACTGAGACTACAGCATTTGCTACAGGAGCATGTGCCTCCCAGACTAATGAAAACAGAGGGTTAGAGCCCCACAAGCCCCGTGGTAATTTCATGCTGGCAGTGTACAATGCAAACCACACAGGGACCTAAATACTCTCCAAATGGAGAGCCTGACACTCTTATTTTGTTTTTTTTTTTCCCCCACTAAACATAGGAGAATACAGAGGAACAATGTGCAGCTAACAGCTGGCTAGGAAAATTGGGTTCTCATGCTGTACAATTTTTTTTTTTCACACATTTCCCTGTATACATTTCTCTACAAAACCTTCTGAATCTTACCTTTAAAGACACTGAAGCGGAAAACCTTGCTGAACTGATATCCAGACCTGTCGAATTTGGGACTTAAGGCTCTGATGGCCATTCTGCAGGCAGAAGCCCTGGAAAAGTTGGGTGAGCACGTTAACACGTCGATTAGTTTGCAATAAGTTTTTCTGCCAGGAAAGGGATGCAGATTTTCCTTACATCACTTGGAGATCTGGGGATGTGCTTCTGCCCAGGGCCCTCAAGTGTGAGTAGATGAAACTTGCCACTTGCATGCTGGGTTCCTTCAGCACAGCATCAGCTAATGTCATCACTATTGGGAGACCTGGCTTGGTTTCAAGCAGAACCACCACAGCCAGCATTCGGACCCGAGGGTGAATTCTGTGATTCAGGAAAATCTCAAGGGTAATAGCCTGGACCTGAAAAAAATAGGTATATTCAATTTTACTGTGTGTTTGAATGTTCTGCTAATAACCATTCGACAGGAGTGAATGATCTGTTCACCACCGGCACAGTAAAAAATTTGTATTTTTTAATAATTATGGCAACGTTGTTCCTGGTTTCACAGTCCGAGGGTTGGAAGGGGCATTATGGTAATCTAGTCTGACTTCCTAGACAATCAAAGCCAAGGAACTTCACTGGGTAACTTCTGCATCAGGTCTATCATCCCTTTTTTGAACTATCCCACCCTATGTTAAGGAGATTTCAGTAACCTGTTACACACCTGAGAAGTGATTTCAGTGATCACTTATCCCTACTCACAAAGCTATGACTTACTTCGAATAATTTGATCTTAATCTGGGCCCTTTCTGCTAAATAACAGAATAGAAATGAAACAAATAAACCCCAATTTATTACCAGAAATCTGTATGCTGTGTAGGCAGCTTAAACCAAAATTTTATGTGACAGGTGTAATTTCCACAGTAGTACCTGTGACCAATGTGTTTGACCTCAGCAATATTCAGCACCAAGACTAATTTTGTACTGGAACCTTTGCAGTTTCCATGAGTGGCACCAAAGCCATAACTTTGAAATGGCTGTGGGTTGTGTGCCACTGTTCTGGTAACCCCTCTGCACAGCCCTGTCCTGCCTAGGAAAGTGCACATCTGTGCACTGGAGGGAAAAGTGACCCAGGAAACTTAAAATTTGGAAAGACCCTGACTGGTTTTATTAATTTGAATATGTTGAATATCAAAGACCAATATAAAAGAGGTGACAACATAAAAGAGGCAGTAGCCTCTTCCTAAATGCAGCTGCCTTTTCAAATTAAACAATAAAAAAGACAGGCCATGAATTAAGTCTGTTTAATGCAAATATAGGTGAGTATCTAGCTGCAAACCAGGCATTAAACTGTTTTTTGAACAATGAAAAAAGTGGTCACAATCATTAACTCACTCCAGATCATATTTCTCCAAAGAAAATGCATAGAAAATGGAACTAAAGAGTGGTCTGGGTCACATGTGGAAAGCCAGGCCAAAGAGCAGTCAGAGACACAGTGTTGTTTTCAAACACCAAATTGGCTTTTTTTTCTTCCCCAACAAATACCCTAACTCCTACCCTTGCTATTCTATCCTCCCCCCTGCTTTTCCCCATCCAGCTCCTGCACTCTAGTAAATTGTTTCTTTATTCTTTTGCTTAAAAGCATACCCTGGCACACTATTGTCCATGAATCAATACGTGCACTCAAACTGGGAGTCACATGCAAAAAAATGAGTATAATGGAAAAACTGATACAGATTAGTAGGTGAATCGTTAATGAAAGCTTTTATTTTACTTCTTATATTAAGAATTGACGTATATAAAACAAAAAAATTCGACATCAGGGAAAAAAAAAATTCTTGAAAACCTTGAAAAGGTTTCCTTTTATAGGCAAATTGCTTTAAGGTGAAAATGATTGTAAAGTGATATCTGTGGTGGAGCAGAGCATGCTGGTGTAGCCATTGTATGTGAGATTATCTCAGTCAGGGACAAAAGTCACATTTGGTAAATGCTCTGTTTATGACTTAAGCCCACACAATGCCTGTAAATTTGTAATTAGGATGCAAACCCCCAGTATCTATTTACAATAAGACCTGGTCTTGAATTACGATCAGATGTGACACTCGGCATTAAATGTTGATTCTCTGAAAACCTTGTTCTGTGGTTCTCTCACACACCAAAGGTGAAGTAGTACTAAACACATTTGGGTCAATAATTTAGTTTTCTGTTTAATGTCCTTGGAAATCAAATGTTTGCAATGGAAATACTGATTTGTCTTCAACAACGAATGTATCCTTTTAATGGGATTTTTGTTGCAGTCTGATATAATGGAGGTTAATGTCAAAAGGAACAAGACATGCCAGCTAAGGAATGGCTAAGTACTTAAAAGAAATAAATTGTGCTGTTTTTGAGAAAAAGATCTGTTTTCCCCTCATCACCCATGATCTATTAACAGCCTTGCAAGTGCAAGCTGCAAGTGCAAAGGAGGTGGCTTTGTTTCCTTACCATTTTTGGGTCTTTCAGGCCTATGTTTTTCAGGGCCATCACAGCAGTTGCATGGACCTTGAGTGGCAAATCTGAGGCACCAGCTGCATATCCTGGCAAAAACTTCTTGATGTGCTTGATGCTGGCTGGGTGTCCTACATTCCCAAGGGCTTTCAGAGCCAGGGAAATTTCTTCTGTGCTAGACTTGCTCAATGCCTCTCCTGCAAAACCATGAAGAAGCTGAAAAAAGAAAACAAATTCTGTTGAGTTCAATTCCAGCTCTTATCTCTATTCCATCCTCCACTCATAATTTCAGTCTGTCCAATTCATTTATTTTAAATATTTTCAAATTCTTTTCTGTCCTCATGAATAGAACATTTTATTCATAGAACAAGTATAGCCAAGAAAGCTGCAATGAACAGCTTCTTCATCACTATGCTTTAAAGTTACCAAGTAAGATTTTTAAAGGCAAAAATAATGGCTAGGAGCTAGTTCCCACTGCTTTCAGGGTGAGTTGGAAACCTTGAAATAGTTCTGCTTGAACATCTCTGTCTCATGGTTGAAGACAGGTGCAAAAATACAGGTACAGTTAAACCTTTAGACCCTTAAATAAGATTCCTGAAGATATGGCTGGTGGTCTTGCCCTTAACCAGCTATGACAGCCTCTTTTTAGAAGTGGATTAGCAGGTGGCAAATGAGATCATTGGCAAAAAATCAGGTCATTTTACAGCCTTTGTTATAAGCAACTGGATCACACTTGCATTAGTGTGTCAAGATTAGAGGTAGTTGTCTGAAGGCTGAATAAGAGAAAAGAACTAAATCCTATTAGATATCTGTTTTTAACACTAACAAGTGGCTCTAAAAAAGAAACAGAGATGTTAGAGAATAATTTCAATGCAGTTTCTGTAGTTTAAAATAACACATTTGAAATCCCTCTAACGGTGCAGAAACAGCCTACTGATATCACTAATTAAATGCATGGACATTTGAAATGCATTGAATAAGCCTGTACAGTCATTTGCTTTGGGAAAGAGTTTTCACTCTCTGACACAGCTCTTCTCAGATTTAATTAGCTCAAGAGCATTGGTGGCAATTGTAACACATGAGACCTGTGTAGGAATGTTGGCCGTGCCTGTGTGCTACAGGAAAAACAATCCTGTCAAGCACACAGGGTATTTGGAACACCCTGCTCGTACTGGGGACGGTGAACTGACCAGCACCAAAGGCTGAAAACACCCATTTCTCTTTCCTTCTCTGTTTCTGGATGAGGGATTGGCCTCTGTAAACCACGACATGCATTTTCAGAACTGGGAAATGCTACTTAATGACTACTGAAATTGTTTTGAGGCCTGCAGATTAAAAGCAGTACAGAACAGGGAGGGTGTTACTCTCATGAAGAGCTTACAGCCTGTGTGGATGACTGGGCTCTGCTTCTGGCTCAGGAATGGAAGGGACACATGACTTCAGGAAAAACCTAGGCTTTTGTGTCACTTAGTTCATTTATAAGTATAGATAAGTACCTATATTTAAAGTGTTTTTGAGCAATGCCATGGGACCTCATTAATAATTGGCAATAAAGCACTCGGAGATGCTCGGATAGAAAGTGTTATGAATTATATACTTCTTCCTCTCCCTCGCTTTCGTGTGCTAATCTAAAGATAAAAACGCTGTATTTAACCAACTGGGGTTCCTTTCCCCAAAGGAAACTCTGTAGTGAAGTGAAATACAGCTTTCTGAATAACGAAGGAAGAACTCAGGCCTTAATTTTTCTTTTGAGCGATGAATAACGACGCGATTACCTGGAGACACTCGGAGCAGGAGTCTGCTGAAGAGCACTGTTTGTGGCACAGCGACGCGTAGCTGAGGTGGCAAACCTTCCCCAGCACAGTGCTGGAGCGTGGGCAGTGCTTTCTGACAATCAGCTGGGGAGGAAGCAGTGGCTCGTTACTAACCATTAATGAAAAGAAACAATATTAAAAAATACCTTCCTGCCCAACGCAAGACAAACCCAGGCTTTTGATATTTTTGTATTGGTGGATTTTCAGGTAATCAGTGGATAGCACTGTACTGGACAACACAATTGTAAAGTAATTTCAAGTAACATCTAGAAGGCAGATCTGTTGCTTTTATGGTGTTTCAGATTTAAATTTGGCATGGGCTATAATCCAAAGGGAGGAAATCACCCAGTTATGGAATGGAAAAACACATATTATCTTAGCAACATCCATCAGGTTTTGTGATCCCCTCAGCCATAGGTACAACAAACTCGAGATTCCTTGGGAAGGGACCTCAGTATTTTGGGCAGGAGGAATATTTTTGTATAAACGTAAGAGCTGTCAGGAGGCATCAGCCACTGCTTTCCTGTGTGAGAAGCAGAGCATCTCTGCACAGGCTTTCATTGAGAGCAAACCTCTAGTCTGAGGTTTGTTGTCTCTACCTAGGGCAGGCAGAGACAGGTTCTTGCATCTGAGGCTGGAATTAAACCCTGCAGATAAAGAAAAAATTGTAAAAATAATTGGACTTTCTCCTACGTGGCCTTCACATTGGCATAATTGCCTTGATCTGGACAGATCTCAAATTCATAGGTCAATCAGGACAAATACATGGATATAACAAATATGTATTTCTTGCTCCTTTGTCTTTGTAGAGAATCAGTTAGAGATCTAATCTGATGTAACTACAAAATACATTTGGAAAAAGGAAGACTAGAAACCACTGTTTGCAGCAATAACCTTTGTCCCTGAGGGGTATTTTACTCTTTCTTTCCTGTTTCATTGTGGACTCATTTTTGCCCTTTTGATTTGCATTCTCCTCCCCTTAAGACAGTCAGGAAACAAAGTCCTTTCAGTCTCACCAGAGGACATAAAACCTTCATATTTTCAAAGCCTTTAACATCTCGTCAAAGGAATAAATACAACAGATGCTGGAATCAGCCAAGAGTGATTTGAGAGTGTTTAGAGAACCCTACTGTTGCTTCCTCCATCACGTCCTGGGTTGGTGTGCTGGAGTGCAGAGCCACCAGCAGCGTCTGAGCCGCTTCCCAGCTGGAGAGCTCCTGCCTTTCCATCCTGCGCCGCAGGAACCGGAGCGCGCGGTGACTGGACACCGCGGGGATTATGTCCAGAACGTAGCGCCTGCAATGGGAAAGGCAAGGAGCATTTTCCAGGTCTGCCTCTGAGCATAAGGGTCTCCAGCAGAGTTTCTCAGCAGAAGAAGCACCACCTTTAATGCTCGTACCTGTACGCTGGCCGGCCGGAGAACTGCTTCCACACCGACTCGTAATCCTCCTCGTTTGCTGCACGAAAGAGGTGCATGAGCTTGAGGGCTTTTGCTGGCGCATCACTGGGAAGCTGGTCAGAGGTGGCCTCTACTAGGTCCTGCAGGCTTTCCTCTATCTGCAGGAAGATGAAAATGCAGGAAGTTCACATGCATTGTGTCCCGCATGCACAGGTTCCAGTGTCCAACAAAGAGTCTGCCCAGTGCCTGAACTTTACCTGGCTTTCCACATCTTTTATTTTGAATAAGTGGACAGGAAGCTGAAGCAATTCACTGCCAAACTCGTACCGAAGTGACCCACGATTCTGATATTCCTTTGGTGGGACCTCTGTCCTCTGCTTCTGCACATCAGTCAGAGTAAGTTTCTGCCTGGAATGGAGAACCCCAGGAAGAAAACATCACAAGATGCAGGGTACAAACTAAAAAAAACCCTCAGTAATTCTGCCTCCCTGCATTGCAGTGCAGCTACAGTTGTTTCAGAAGGGTTTTGTTATCGAGGGGAAAAGATATCTACAAACAGATGCATTTGGACATGATGCTCAGAACTGCACTCTGAGAAGGTGTGCACTTGCACAGCAGGGCTCAGATCAGAGCCAGTCTTTGCCTGCCATTGGGAATAACCTGGCTTGAGAATTTAAGGAAGAAGAAGGAGGTGAGAAGCTGCAGCCTGATGATCACAGGAACTGTGTGTTGTGTTGTGTCTTGAGGAGTAAATTAAGGATTATAGGAAAACACAGATGGGAAACTTGTTCATTAGTTATCATTTAATTTAAACCCTTTAAGAAGTTCATAAAAGCTGTTACATGCCTGTGTCTCCTGGAAGCTTCAAAAGGAATTGAAATTTTTTTACTTGCCCTCCCCATTTTGTCTGGTAAGCTGAATATCCTGGGAACTGCAAAAAAAGGTTCTTATGAAGTCTCAAATTGGATTTACCAAACAAAAAGGGCCAGATAAATTCAGGATTAGTCTTTGGAAAGTGCTGAAGCTTTTGGAAACTTTTCAAGAAGCAACCAACCTTCATCCTTTGTTATTAAGAATAATTCCAATGAGAGACTGTCTTTGTAAACATTTGCTATCTTTGCTACATTTTCAGCTAGACGTGAGCTATCCTACCAATTATGCTTAAAATGGGCCATTTAGGACACCGTAATAAAGTTAGGCATTTGTAGTGAACAATTGAAAACATTTCAAAAGCAATATTCCTGTGCTACTCAGTGCCTCAAAATCTCCGTAGAAAATTGGCGTGTTTATTTTGAAATCTCTATGATCTTCTGCAGCATTTTTATTCACTCCTTCCATATGGATTGCAGAGAACTGCTGCAGAAATAGTGCATAACTGCTTTGCAGACAAGCTTCTGGAATGTGAATAGAAACCACTACAGAATCAGCAGAGATTTGTTCTCTCTTGAAATTTTATACAATATTATTGAAAGGGCGTTTGGGTCAGAAATCAGAAAATCAGGTACACTTGGACAGAGTTAATTCTCCCTTCCAGATCATGATGAATTTATTATATCTTCATCTTTCTTGTTTTGGGAAGAGATATATCTGCCCAGAATAGATGGGAAAATATACTCTGAAGAGAAGAGCAAATGAATACTAAAGATAGGATTAAAAAGGTGAAAAAACAGTAAAACCTCTCTTGGCTTTGAGAGGTGCTGCAAGAATCTTATGCTGAACAGGTCAGAAAACTCAGCTCTGGGTGTTTTAAGTCCTTGACAGATTTTTTCTTTTTTTTTTTTTTTTTTTTTTTTTTTTTTTTTTTTAAACAGAGAGTGTATTGTAGAAATAACTTCTGAAGACTCGAGTGAGATATCCACATCTTCCCAGCTATCTTATATTTGTCCCCTTCTGCTGGGCAATGCTAAAAATCCAGAGAAAATGGGAAAGGTAGAGGCACTACCCTTCTGAGGGCTGAGGAAGAACATCTTCTTTGCAGAAGACAATCTCTGCAGAATGAGAGTGTAAAGCACTGTAAGTCCATTGTCTCTAGACTGATGCTGACTCACAACAATCTATAATTTGATAAAAGCACTGCAGTTGTGCCTATCTACACTTTGATTGCATAGGGATAGTAAAGCCACTTTCACCTTTACTGTTCTGGTTTTGGTTTTGGGTTTTTTTTTTTTTGATTAGCCAAATTGAGCACGTTCATTACATAAATGAAGTTAATTGGTGAATTATTGACATGAATTTTCTGATGCTGCAGTTTCCAAAACCGTATATTATACCAATAGATTCTTGCAGGAGCTAATGCAGCAATGCAAGATTACAGCAGTTGAGGAGTGGGATTGAGGTATAATTTCTGCACAGCTGCCTTCATGCAAAAAGCCTCTCCCTTCAGTAGGGCACTCCTGTATACAGAGCCCATAATTAACTAGGTAGCTAAAAAGTTTTTCAGTAGATGATTTTGATAGATGAAATCACTTGCAAACACTGAGAGTTTGTGAGCTAGAGCTAATGGTGAGCAGGGGCGTAATTTCTTACACAGCCACATCTTCGTTTTGCCCCAGTATTGTTAAAGAAATATGCAAAACTCGTTGTGGAAAAGCAAATGCATTTTACATGCCTTGTGCCCAATTGTTCTGCAATAAAACCCAATTTCCTATTTAGAAACAGTTTTGATGGGAGATTTGTAAGCAGCCCAGTGTATTTAGGAATCCAAAGTCCTATCTAGGTTTCTTGTGAACTAGTCTCAAAGGGTCTCTTACTGCATTATTATTTTCCAGGGAACTCTCTTTCTGTGAATAACTGTCTTTCAAAGTATTTTACTTCAAATATATTAGTTCACAATTTTTCAGATGGAATTACATTTGTTTTGGCTTTTATGACATAAATCAAATATCCCCGAGAAATAAAATAGTCAAACCCTGCCAAGTTTAGCTAACGAAATTTGGATGGTGATGTGCACGCTTCAGATTTACAACTAGCAGTGAAGGTTGCTTTTATGAACTGTTTGGGATTTTATGTAATTAAATACTGGCAAACAATGGGCTGTGGAAGCAAAGGATTTATTTCACTTACGGAATTTGACCGGATTATGGAGTCGCTGAGTTAGTTGCTGAATTAAAGGCATATGTACAGTACCTGGCTTGTACTATAGCATTTCCTCCTGTTATCTCATTGAAGGGTGCAAACTGGTGGATTTCCTCGACATCAGCTTGTGTAATTACAGCTTCACTGCGTGTATATTTAATTTTGTAATTGTAAGTAGCGGTCGCCCGGGAATTCTTGTTTCTCTTTAAAATACGAAAAAAAAAAGCAAAGAAACAAAGAAAATAAAAAGTCATTGAACTTCTGAATTCTGTGACTAGGAGCTATTACATCACCCCCTTCAACCCACTCGTTTTCCTGGGCTGTTTTGTTCATTGGCCATAAGAGCAGCTGATGTGAATTCTGTGCACTCACTTCCACGGGAGAGGTCAGACACGCTGCCTGGCTCCATTACTTTTACTGCTAAGAAGTGTTAGCTGTTTTTTCTTTTTCCCAAATAGAGGTAATTGGTCATTCCCTCGAGAAGGAGACACATTTTCTGAGGAGAGCGGCTGCCTAAACCACACAATTTCTTATTTCAAAGAGAGGATTGCAATAAAATGCAGCAGTACCTGTCTTGAGCAGCAGAAAGTGGACATCGTGGCTATTTTTTTACTCACCAGAATAGGTGAATTAACTCATGCTGATAATTAATGGTTTCCAAGCCAGCTAGTTTGAGCTGGTTGAAGTGTGCCTGCATGACAGCCTGCAGCACAGACCTCTGCTTCTCTGTGGGCTGATTTTCAGACAGAAAGAAAATACTGACAACTGGATACAGCAGACCTGACCCTTCCCTCATTTCGAGTGTTTCAAAGCAACAGATACCAAATGGTGCTCAGCATAAGAACACGAAGCACATATACATAACACCTCTCTAATTTACCTTCTGGCAGGCCTGGCATGGCTGAGTGTTTGCTGAACCTGTGACAATCTGAACTTTCTCCTCACAGCTGTTCAGGTCCTTGGATTTGGTCACATAGAGTAGGCTTGCCCTCTTGTTTTCCTGAATTGCATACGTTGTGTTGCAAATACCTCCAATCCCAGCCTGGCAAAAATGAGAAGAGGATCAGAGAAGTTCACTTTTATGCAAAGCTTCAACTCACCACATGGAATTTCCTGCTTAATTCTGTGTTTTCAAAATTACTCTTCTTTTTTTTTTCATTATACACTCCAGAAGCAAAATTGGGGTGATGATTACTTTCATCTCTTTTTTACATGTACAGGTTCCCAGTGAGCCAAATCAGAGTTGCACTGAGAGAACTAAAATTCCCAAAGTTTCACTTGGAGCCTCAGGAAAAGGGAGTAGCGATTTTCAGTTAGAGCTGTTGATTATGAAATAAGATTTGAGGAATATTAACAAAAAGTGTCAAAATAATTTGATCGGTCAGAATGACATTTCAACAGCAAAGTCTTTCAAGGTTGGAGATGACATTCTGCCCTTAAAACTTGCTTTTATAGACAGCTTATAAATGCCTATGGAACGAGCCTTGCAATATCAGATGATCTGTCACAACATGAACAGCAATAATTAAAAAGAATTTCAGGATAACAGAGTTTTGATTGTGGCTTTTCTTGAGTTTACAGTTTTAGCTGAGCTCTTCAATAATATTTTGAGCATATACATTTATAAGAGCTCTTAAATTTCCTCAGTCAGTGAGATTTTTTTGGAGAGGAAAAATATTTGATTGCATTTTAGGAGGAAGAGTTATTTTCATGATTTTGTTTTTCACTGTTATTTATAGCATAGCCAGTGCGGAGAGCAGCTCTGGGCTATGTCACAACAGCAAAATAGTCATGTGGTGGTTGGGAGGCAAGACATACCCACTTCATCTTTAGCTTAACAGAATTCCTGGTGACACTGTGGCTTTGGAAAGGGCTAGAAATAAGAATTGCCCAAGCTTTCTGAAAGACTTGTGCCCTGCAGATACAGGTGTGAGGCTCCTCTGCAGACTGCAGGGTAAGGTAGAGACATCCAGACTTTAAATGGGAACGTTCTGCTCGGAGAGTTCAGTGGGAGGAATTAGACTCCTGTCCATCTGGACTTTCTGGCTGTGTGCAGCTCATGGCCAGCTCAGATACCCTCACCCTGCACCCCCAGGATGGGATGTAGACTTTCCCAGGTTAGTCCTTTAAACCTCTCTGCAGCTCAGATTTTGGAACTAACAACTCTTATCTTCCTTTACAGGGTGACTCGAGATTGTCAAGCAAGGATGCCAAAGCTCATTAATCATTTGCTCTCTGAGAAAAGCAAAGGAAACTTGGAAATGATTCTAAGAGGTGAAGTCACATCTGTTGCCTAGCAGAGAGACTTGGACATAGTGCTAACTGAATTAGAAAGAATTAAGATGTGAAATTAGATTTGAGGAAAATGGTGATGCAGAATATGCAACTCCAGCACATGGATTTTTATGTAAAACAAACAGTGTGAAACTATTAAATCACGTAGTTCCTTTCCCAGAAACAACTCTACTTACATAAAAATAAATTTTAAGAAAATTAAAGTTACTCTGGTCTACATTTTCAATAAAAAATACCATGAAAGTATAATAATTTCAAGGTTTTTGCTGATCTCTGAATTGAATGTATTCTAATCAATGTAAATACGGTTTCACAAAAACTAAACACATTGCAATTTCTGTGGTGAACAGCAATATCAGATGATTTACCTGGACTAATATATTAAAACCTGAAAAACAGTGGAAATTCCAACAGAGCATCAACTGCAACTGTCAAAGCTATTACAGTAATGTCATGACATATATACTGTTTTTCTCCTAAAAGAGGAGCTAGAAGAGATTAAAGTGTATAAGATTGGTGAAAAAAGTCAAATTACTGTTATTTTCGCTTTACTATTAAGCTGTATGTTTAAGCTTGTTTTAATACAGTATTCACATTTTATGTAGGCTTCAGCTTTCACAGGAGTTTACCTTCTCTAAATAATAACCCTGATTTTCTAAAGATTTAATACTGCAAGTGCATTTTCTGAAATACTTTCATCAACCAGATTAAAAATCTGCTCTTCTGTTGTCCTGTTTAAATATATCTCCATCAAAAGTCATCCCATAAGAGCAACTTAATCATGATTTCCCAAGCTTTGGTGTTTCTTATTAGTGAGGTTTATGCCCAGGATGAATTCAGAAAATGCTTGAGAAGACTCTGAAGAGAAGGCTTATTTATTTACAAAGCCACCACAACGGCCAAACCAAAAATCTCACCTCCTGTAAGCTGTAGGAGTGCTGCATCTTCTTTATGCTCAGCTCCAGCACGTTCATAACCCCTCTGTAGATGTTCAGCCCATCGTCCGAGATGGAATCGGGAGCCATGACATTCCCAACGTGGCCACTGCTGTACTCAAACTTGACGGGGTTACTGAGCTGCCCAGTCAGCACCTGGGTCAGTTTGAGTGACCGAGAGAATGAGCTCGTGGGCCAGACCCCATTGTACTCTCCTGCTTCGATGGAGTGAATCTGGAACAAAGAGGGAATGGAATTACTCTTTAATATTTTTTTTTCCAGTCAACTCTTTTCTTAATACACATAAGCATCTAGAGCTTTACTCACATCGAAAATACACTTTTAAGTGATGCAAAGCCTCTTCAAAGGGAAGCCTTAGAAGCTGTAATTTAGCATAGCTAGTTGATACACATATTTCCACACAGAAAAGAGAGCAATGCAAATGACTGTGATACTTCTGCAGCCACTGCACTCTGTTCTATTACGTAGAGAATCCATATTGCCAAAGTTTGGCTTGTACGAAGAAATGAGCCAGAGAAGAGCTGCATGAAGCAGGTTGCTACCCAAAAGCAGTATGGAAGGTCTGCAGGAAATTGCAGGAGGAAGTTAATGTTGCATAAAGCATCATTAACTCCTGTTGTGAACTCTGTCATTTCCCTCGCTGGGGTCACAGAGGGCAGGCAGCAGTCTGAAACTAATAACAGCATGGCTGCTGGGCCAGCCAGATAGTCAGAATTAGTCTGAGCAGTGGACAGCAGATTACAGAAATTGTCATTCCCTACGTGTTTTGCTGTAGAACTCAGGCACTGGCTCCGACCGTGCTCTGCACTTCACGCTCCAGCCTCAACCTGGGGCACATCCAAGCAAGTAGAAAGTTGTGCTAAACTATGCTTAACTGGAATAATTCCTACCCCATGGGAACGGCCATGTTTAGCTTAGTTTCTCAGAGGACCCTTCCCTTCTATATATTTTGACAATTTGAAGAGACTTTTCTCTGACACCTCAGGCGGGCGATGTGACGCAAGACTGGGATTAATTTCTCCAAAAGCCACACAAAACTAAACCCTCACACAGCAAACCACTGGAGACTGAGCTTTCATATTTATTTTTGTTATTGTTGGTGGAGATCACTGCCAACCCCAGTAACTGAAGCTTACAGGGGAGGCTGTTACGGAGCAAATCCCTCGTGCTGCCTCTCGGACATGCTCCTGGCATTCTGCGTACGGGCAGGTTTGGGACTGCTCTGCAGGGTCAGGGTGAGGTAGTTTTCCCCAGCCCTCAGGGCCCAGTCAGGACTTACACTGTCTGCTCAGGTTTGAACACAGCTGGCAATTCTTACTTGCAGGTTTGTGATGAAAAAATTGTCAGCTGGAAATTGCCCGGGGAACGCGGCTTTTTGTTTGGGCTGAATGTGAACTAGGAGGCTGCAGATGAAAGTTTAATTCCCTGAACCATCCCTCCAAACTGTCTAATTTAAATATAACAGCAGCAAAATAAACTTTTCCCGTAGCAGAAGGGAATAAATGCACCATTACCTTTAGCTTAAAACTTGCCCCCTAAATATCTTTTTTTTTTTTCTCTTTTTCTTGCCTGAAATTATTTCTGTATTTATTTCTGACACAAATACACCAGGGCCAGTGAAATTGTGCTGGGAGGCTTTCGGGAACAGGAGTCAGCTTTTGGTTAAGACTCACCCTGGCACACCAAGGGCTTTCTCAGCAGGAAGGAGGGAGGATGTGGGGTGAGGACATGACTGCTTCTGCCTCCTTTCTGCCAGGGAAGCCTTCCACTCACCATTGCACATGTGTGGCTCTTATTTCCTTGTTAGTTTGTTTTTTCAAAAAAAATCTGTCCCCTTGCAGAGGTCATGGAAAAGCAATGTTTCCCATCTACATCTATTGTAATCTGGATTTATAAAAGTACTTAGTAACAGAAGGGTAATTCAAGCTGGAAGGCTACAGCATTTACAAGAGTTTATCAGACACTCACTGGTCTTTTTTAACCTGCAGTTTTCAATTTGCCAAATTAAATCTCTTAAAAAGATAATTTTTCTTCCCCATGTACAGGAGACTAAGTGGAGTTGGTGTAAAGAAGTTGAAGTGTGCATTTCTATACACCCATTATAAGCATGTATAGGCTTCTTTTAAAGGCAAAAGTGTTTGTCACATAATCAAAACTCTTGGTAATTACTCAGCATGCAGTAAAAATATACGGTTGAGGATGACAAAGAATGTCACTTGGGACCCTTCAGTAAAAGAAGCTACCAGATGACATTAATTATGCTAAATATTGAATCACATCCAACTACTGTCACATGTTTTATAGCCTTTTGTCTGCTGGTTACGAAATCAGCTGATTAAATAATCCTAGGCTGTACAGTTTGGAACAATTGGATTGATACGGTAATAAATTATTGTGCATTTCAAATTACATTCCATTGTCTCCCTGACCACAAAGTAGAAGAAATCCTTCAAGCCCAAGGTTGGCTTGAGCTGAGAATTACCTGGCAAAGTGCAAATAGAATTTAGGGTATAAAAAAAATAACAGTATCAGTTACATTCTCCCTGAGTAAGCACAACACACGAGGAAACTTAATTGCTTCCCAAAAGTTTAAAAAAAGAAGTCAAGTATGACGAGAATTTTACCTTTCAAATTGAACACATTTTCTTACCCTAATAAGACAAAGTTTTGGCCCAATACCACTAATTTCCACTTTACTTTTTATTCTTATTCCAGCTCTTGCAAGTCCTTTCTCTGGAAGTCCACTGAGAAGCGTACTTTCATAATCAAATGTATAAACCTTGTTTTCACTGAAATCGGGTTCTGTAAAGAAATGGTTCCCATGAAATATTGTAGAGACTGTACAGAACATATTAGAACACCTCTATTAGAATGTATGGAACAAAAAAAAAAAAAAAAGATGAATTTGTTCATTTTTGCAATGCACCTGAACAAAATTAGCTGTTGTAAAACTATATTAAACATTGATATACTTTTCAGATCCTATTTTTAATTTCACTCATTATAATTATATTAGCTGATAGGAAAATTACTTACGGTAATTAAGATGCTGGCTCCCTGAAAGAGAAAAAAAAAAAGAGTAATGAAGTGACAAAGCAAAAGAAAACCTACCACAAAATGTTAGTGTGTTTTAGTATAAAGGGCTATATCTCATCTTGTACATATAGCATAACCCTTTCTAATTAACTTCTGTTTCAGAACCATCCAAAAGCCTTCTTTTTTCCCTAAACAACAAAAAAGTCATAAAATATTTTTTTCTATAACAAAGTTTTTGTTTGCCAGTGACCTGTATTTAGATTCTGAAACCTTTTCCTTAAAATATTATTTTTAAATTTATCCAAGTAAATAAGTTATTTACTTACCCACCAGGGTTAAAACCAGGGCTAATATCAAGCCCCTCATGATGGGGACAAAGTAAAGGTGAATGTGATGGGTTTCTCTTTTATAAAGGCATGTGATATCACATGTTTCTTTTGGCATGTTAGTTTGACAAATAAGTGTATTTTAGAATGCATATTGATCAATCAAAAAATAAACATTTCTGAGGTCATGAATGCTGACAACTTCAAATCACCTCTTGATTTCAACTACCTTACTTTCTATGTGAGAAAGAGATTAAATTTTCAATGTATCTTGCTTGCTATTTTCCCCTCATTTCTCTACATTGTAGTTACACAGTAAAATAACAAATTTTAAGTTAAGTAAACACAGTTCCTCCATCATAACTGAAATTATTTAGCTTTTCTCCAGTCGTGTCTTTAATCTCCTGATAATTTACTCTTGATTAAGGTCACAGCTTTGGAGACACATCTTGCTCTGCCACATTGAGACTCTGCTTTTAGAGGAGAATTTGTGGTTGGTTGCACAGATTTAGGCTCGAGACACCTTACAGCTCATAGGCATGGGATGAGAAATTGTCTTTCCAGGGTATTTACCACGTCTGTCTTTGCAAACACATCGTTACTCAGGGAAGACAAATCTTCTGAGTACAAACACCACACCAGCTTCTGGCTGATAGTGAAAGTTTATGCTATGAAAACAGGAGAGAAATTAATTTCTTTGTCTAGAAGAAGAACCTGATAAAAAGTGAGTTACGTTCCAGGTAGACCCCAGTGAGTTGGGAGCATTGGGTGCTTCTCAGTGGGTTCTCATGAGGCTTTTGCTGCCACTCCTGGGAGGATATATCCAGAATTTCCCACTTGTAGCAATAACATTTAGATCAATCCTTAGCAAAACTACATCAGTAGGGAGTTTGCTCCCTAACTTCAGTTATACATATTTTTTTGCAAGTGTTTAACATTTACTTTGAATTTAAGCTTGTCTTTTGGTCAAATGGTAAATTAAATATCACGTAAAAACCCACCTGGGTACAAGGGTTACTTGGGGGGAGCAGGAAGGAGAGCTCAGGAATGCATATCTGGTATTTCCTTGAGGCTGTGAAAGGTAGAACACACTTGCATATAGGCAGGCAGCCAGAGTTTGTCCTCCAGGAGGAGAACAAGGCTCTCTCTGCTGCTACTCTTCATCAGGGAGGAGAAAGGTGAAACCCGAGAATGAGTCCTGAGGTCTTCACCACCAGGCCTGAAGATATATTTGCTGCAGGCCCCATCAAACAGTCCCTTTACGTGATTACTTCATTTTTTTGGAGTGATGCCACCTGAGTGAGGAATAATGAAGTTCATTATTGTGGTGCCAGGGCACCCGAGCTGGAGCCAGGGATGCAGCTGCCTGGTCCCTCTGTCCAGCAGAAGGCAAGTGAGGGCTGTCTCCTTTGGGCTTCTTCACTGCTGAAACCTTGAGGATTTTAATATCTCAGCTTGCCTTCAAAAAGGGAAGGATACAGAACTGGATGGCTAGTCAGACCTCCCCTGAAATGAAATCTGTCTGGTAAAATATTTAAATATACCACAGACATATGAACCATTACAAGGGATTAATAATTGCGTTGTTGGTTCAGTGTGGGCTCAGATGGTGAAAAATTGGGTGCACATGGGTTTTCCTCAATGTTTTCTTCCAGGGTGCTAAGTGCTGTGAGGTGTGACAAGACATAGCATGTTTGTGAGCCTTGTGAAATTCAGCTGCACACCTGGGCAGGTGTGTGCTGTCAAATGGAGTTAGAAATTCCTTACAAACAGTCACATTTTTTTGCAGGATGGAAGTAAATGCATGGAAGCAATGTAATCCTGTAAGTGGTGACATGCAAAACTCTCCTGCTTTGGTCACTGTTCATCAGTGCCACAGCTTGACCTCTGCAGTAATATTGTGCTGTCGTGCTCAACAAGTTCAATTCCACAGGACAGAATGTATAAGAAAAAATTTGTGGTATATATAGAACTATATAGGGGAGAATATTTATCTATGCATTGTTATTAACAGCATATTGAAATACCGTGTGAGGAACACACACACATTAAAATGGAGCTATAACATTTTTCAAGTTTAATAAAAGGTTTCATAATTAAGGTGTAATATGAATAGATTTGTTCTAGATGGGTAGTGAAAATACTGCATTTCTTTTTTTTAATGAAGCACACTGAGTCTAAGCTCACAATCAGAATCTAGATATCTGACTGCTAAAATAACAGCCATAACAATTAAGATGGTGCAGGCTGCAATGTTCTCTTAATTTGCAGCATGTTCTCTCTCTTTTTAATAGATCCTCTCTGCCCAGGTTTGTTTTCTTGGGGGAGAAGAGCAAGTGATCTCAGAATTTTTGTACCTATTATCACTGTAAAGGAACAACCTAATAGATGCAGTAAGTGGAGAGGAGACACAGCCAGAGTTTGAGGGTCAGAGCACTGGGCTCTAATCCTATCTTCAAAGTAGACACATCGTTCCAGAGAGTTCTGAGGGAATAAAGAGGAGATCTATCACTTTAAGGAAATGAATAAAAGGAAGAAAGGTGAGAGTCATAGTTTTTAAAGTCAATACAATTTTTCTTAAACATTCAACAGGTCATGTTACTGAGCAAGAAAATACATGAAAAATAAATAAAACACAATTAAACACAAAAAAACTTCCAAGTGCCTAATTTGGTTGCAGAGGAAGGAAATTTCATGTGGGCATAGGCTTTATACACAACCTGTATCTTTTCCTTTTTTTCTTCTTTTAGCCATAAGCAGTGAAGAAAAGGAATTGTTGAAAAGCAATGGGAAATATCTTGGGAATTTTTTTCTTTTAAAGGAAGAGAATATACAGTGTTGAGTGTTACAGAGAACGTGATGGCTCTATAAGGAGTGCAGTAAGATGAGGTAGAGTGCTTTGAATTTACAGGGCACTTGCACCATAAATGAAACATGAACACAGCCTAATTAACCTGATTAGAGCTATTGCTTCTACACTGCAATTGTCTTTACATAACACATTCTGCTTGAGTAACAGAGTCTTATTATCTGCTGTTGTACTGCCAGTGATAGCTCTGCACTCTCCTTGTTCTGTGTTCACATTGCTGAATTATGGTGCAGTGGTGCCATTTCCACCCTGCTAATATATGGCCTAAAGACAAAGCAGGGATTAGCAGAACAGCTCCCAAGCAACCACAGCAGGTTAAAATAGATATAATCAGTTGGCTAAGCAAAGTGATTTTTAGCCTTCAGCTTTCCTGATTTCTAAAGATTTCTGAAAGAAAATTTCACACCTATTTCATGTTTAACATTCATGCTTTGATTTTTTTTCTCTCAAAACATTCAGCATTTGTTTGTGTAGCATAACCCTCCGAGATAATGTTTGATATTCTCTCCAGAGACATTGTCTAATGAATAAGAATGTGTTCTAGGTTGGGCTAAATTGCCGCATGCTGATTCTAGGACATTCACAAAGGGATTTTATTACATCAGATTACTTTAAAAGGTGCTTTTTGGGTTTTTTTGACTTCCATTCCCTTTACTAGAAAGAAACCAACAGGCCCCAATTCCCAGTTTGATGCTGGCGCACCACCAGTGGAATGATAACTGTGGGAATTGGATACAAGCTTTGAAACTATGCATATACCAAAAGCTAGACAGTACAGAAATAGCATTTCTACCTCTTTTATTTTTCAAAGATGCTGTTGGTCTAGATTTATAGAATAGTTGTAGAGTTTTATTTTGATAGATTTCCTTTTTGCTAACACATGCAGTTAAAATAGAGCCCCATCTTTGTGCTTTTCCTGGGCTAGCCAGTGGGACTGTTCCTGATGCCTGGTGTGGACTTGCCTGTCACTTCCAGACAAAAGAATGAAATTAAGAGAAGCATGGAACCTAACTTTGACATCCTCAACCCGAAAACAGATTGTTTTGGTACAACTCAGCTTTACTAAGAAGCTCAAAGGGTTTTATTTTTATTCAAATATGACAAAGACATTCTGAAGCCTGACATCATTGGCTCATCAGCCAGCACACTGATTAAGTGGCTTCAGGATTTCCCCTCCCCTCTCAGTATATACTGTTTCCCAAGTCATTCAGTGGGGTTAAATGTTAGACAACTTGCCATCTGAGGTTTGAGTCACGTCATATTTGAGGACTGGTGTTTGCTATGTAATTCCATTGCATTGGAAGATAACTTCTCCAAGTTTATCTTAACCCTGACTTCGACTTCATGGTCACAGAGTGATTAGCTGCTGTGGCATTGGTGCTGACAGGAGATCAGGTAGCCCTGAAATTTAGCAGTGTCATGACTCCAGCTCAGTCACGTTGGGGATGAAACATATACAGGACATGGAGAGCTCTGTGCAGTGCATCAATAGGCTGTAGGCCTTGGTTTAGAGGCTGAGGCACTGCTTGGAATTGCATGCTTGGTTAGAGCTATCATGGCTGGGAACTTACCTGGGAGGGAAAAATCCTCCTGTAATGTCTGTGGTGAGGAAAATTTGGGCACTGCTGCGAGGAAGGTGAGGAGATCCCAGAGCATCCCATGTACCTCAGGAGGGATGGCAGGAAGTGAGCACACCTGGTTGAGCAGACTCAGCATCACAACCCTTTTTCAGGAGGCACTGTGAACACATAAAACAGTCACCACTTCAGAAAATGACCCATGATCCCCTGTCATCCTTTATGAGGATACCTTTCTGTCCTTGGAGGAACAGTGCCAGAGTCATTGGTGGAAGAATTTTAGAAAGAAGAAAATTCTCAAGTCTTTTGTCTTTACATCAGCCCAAGTGTACTAGGGCTGCAAAACTTCAGACTCTCCTAAGAAAGGAATTGGACTTATTGTTTTTTTTTGTTTGTTTGTTTTTCAAACTGTGGAGTTGCACAGATGTATAATGAATTCTCAAAACTGCTACTTATGTTGCGGTTCCACCCAAAATGTGCAAAGTTCATAAGAATGAAGGGGAAAGGACTGAGTTTTTTTTCTTAGAAGCCAGTATTCTCAGGTATAATGATGATTGCTTTTTGGTTTCATGGACCTTCATCTTAGTAACTTAT